TGTACTCTGCTCTTTGTGGGTTTTCTTCGGTTTTTTTTTTTTTTTTTTTTTTTCCTTGTTACCTCAACTGGGATAACAAAGACAACTCAAGCTGACAAGCTCGACTCCCAATGCCTGTCGAAGGAGGTTTGAGGGATTGAGAGTTTGAAACCCACGGAAACTTGACAAAACAAAATGTCGAGACACGGATAACTTGCTAATATGGAATCACAAAATTATAAAAATAAATACAATTAAAAAAAAAAAAAAAAAAAAAAAAAAAAAAAAAAAGAAGAAACAACAGCTAGAAACCGAAAACCTGATGACTTGAGATCACGGTTGCTTGAAAACCTGACAACTTGACAACTCAGAGAAAAACAAATATAAAAGGAAAAAAATGGCCACCTGCGATGCATTGGCGCTTTGTTTCGATTGTCCCAAAGAGGAAGGGTTTTGCGCTGCTTCAGAACTCTTCGCACATGGACACAAAACAAGAGAGACGAACGACGACGAGAGAGCCTGACACTTTGTCTGCAGCTCTTCCCAATGTAACATGCTCCGGTCGACGGGCCAAGCCTGCAGCGTCTGTGCCCTACGAGGGTCCCTGGGATACTTGAACAGCTTGGGTCGGTTGGTCCGTTTCCTTGGAAAGATGCTTGCCAGACAGACAGCCAGATAGACAGCAGATAGGCAACCAGAAAGGTGTTTCATTGATACACACTTTTCCGAAAAGATCGTCGCTGCAGTTGACCATCACAATCGTTGTTTCGTTGTGTCGTTGTTTCGTTGTTTACCGTTACAGTTTTTCAGTGGACCACTCGGTGAATAGCAATCGACGGTATGACACCGAACTCAGAGCGTCCAGTGGCAATGATGTGACACGCGAAGCCGGTGAGTCTGTCTGGCCTTTCTCTCTCCTTGCCCTTCTCGTTTACTTTATGCGCCCTCTGCTCAGCACTTGTACTTTGTATGGCTGCAAGCGAAGGCTTGGCAGGAGGTCTCGAGCCTCTTTCGTCGATACAACGTGGGCGAGTTCGGCGAGGTATCTTACCCTGACAGCTTATCTCACCCGCAGAGTACAAAATACCGGCCGCTGTTTCAATTTTTGACGTTCGAGGTAGACATATCTTACGACCTCCAATGTACGAAATACGGTATGTCGCCCAGCAGACCTGGGCCTGCGCTCCTCCTGCAACCGCACGGCAGCGCACTGGATCGTGTTGCACATACAATGTATGCACTCCGTACGTCCTGCCGCAACTCTCTGCGCCCCATAACAGAAGCGGAAGCACTGTCACGGCGGGCGCGCAAGAAAGGGCGTGTGCCGTGCAGCATGGGGGCTTGCGGCGTGCCGCAAACGCACATCTGTTGTTGGGGAGATGAAAAAGAGAAGAAATGGACAAAGAAAGTAAACAATCACTTGTTGGCCGTTGGATGTGGGCGGTCTTTCCCACCTGTCGAGCTCACGTTATCTTTTGTCGCTGCATGGAGTACGTTTCCGTATTCACTCGTATTTTTGGAAGAACGTCTGCGTCGTCCTTGAAGTGTACGTTGCACGAAATATACATCGTCCTCGGTACGAGCCACCTTGTAACTGATGCGTCATGATTACATCGAAAAGGAAAGAATACCCGCCGCCATCTGCAGCTGCCCGTTTTGGGGAGAAGACACAACGGCGGCAGTTGACGGTATCCCACCAGGAAAGAACACCAGGAGCACAGCGCGAGGATGTGCCAGGAACGCCAGGAACGACCGAAACAGCCTACTGTGTAAGCGACGACACACGTACTCCGTTCGACGTGATACGTCCCCCATTGCTCCTTCCTGGCCTCGCCCTGACCTCGTCCTAACCTCGCCGTGCCCCACTACCGAACGGACCCTGGTCGGGTCGATGCTGCCAATCGGCACAAGCGTGGTTTCAACATGGGGGAAAGGAGATGGGTGGGCGGGGCTTCTTTTCTTGTCGTGAGGGGCAGGAGCTCAGGAGCAGAGAAAATGTCTGTACATCGGTTCTTCGTACGTCGTATTGCTCCATATCGTCCTCTTGTCTTGTCTGTCAGTTCAGCCCCCTATTCCGGACTCCAAATTGTCAACAGCAAGGAGGACAGTCCCAGTCCCAGGAACGTGTCTTGGCTTTGGCCCAGCTCTGTGTTCTTGTTTGTCTATTTCTCCTTGGCGGATGTCACGATGTTTTGAGGGCGGATCCGCGACGGCCAAAATCAACACGAAGGCCTTCTGAAGTCTTTCGAGATGCTGCACTCCCGTCGAAGCCGTTGCATCCGTGACCATTTACGTCTTGGCCCTCCACTGGTCCCTGTTCATTTCCACGTTCTCTTGACCTCTTTGGCCACCGTTAAACCGCTTACCATCTTCTCCTGCTTGCTTCCTTGTCAATATTGGTAGCTGACGCTGGACGCTGGACGCTGGACGCTGAATACTGACAGACCGAGACGCTTTGATCACTTGCCGTTTCTATTTTGCCATTTTTGCACTGGCTTTCGCTTTTCGCTTTTCGCTTTTCGCTTACTTTGTTCGCCGCATCTCTCACAAGACAAGACAATTAGCGCTTCTTGTCTTCGTCGTCCTCCTTTCTCTACTCCTTACAAAGCACGGAGTGCTTTGTTTCTCCGTTTTGTTTCCGTCTCGCTTTGTGCTGAACAAATTCCTTGGTAGCAAACATGAGAATCGAAACAACACGAGACAACCGTTCATGCGGAACGAATCGGCTGCGATCTGGGGGCCTGGGCTGGGGGTTGGGCCACCACCCTCTCTCGGCTGCTCTTGCCCGAGAACTCCAACGGCTGCCTTCCGCTCGTGTAGCATCTCTTCTCCTTACACAATGTCCAAGCACTGCGAGTGAACCGACGCCTGGGCAATCTGCATTCTGTGAATGAAACAAAAAGAAGACGGCTGTAAACAATCCCAGTCGTATTGCGACTGTCTCCTTCATGTCTCTTCCTTCGCTTCTTACTACGTGCGCCGTTGATAGTCCATAGTCCGCACAGAGTACGACCTATGTACTCCGTATTCGCAGCACTCTGTCCGTTGCTTCAACTAAAGCTCCTTGAGGACGGAACAGAGGGTCGTACCGCGGACGGGTCCCGTTCTGAAAAGAGGAAAGAGTGTCCAAAAAGAAGAGGTCGAAGCAAAACAAAAACAGCCAGCAAAAAAGTACTGAGTGAGGAGCCTCCGCTAAAGTCCTGCTATTAAAAAAATAAAAAAAATAAAAATAAAAAATAAAAAGACTACGTCGTATGGAGTATATTCCGCCCGCAACGAAGCTTGTCCCAAAACACGATGCAACATCCTGCTACGAGGGCACGTTTTCCTGATTCCACTTGTACTCCTTCAAGCACGGAGTACTCCGTCCAGAACACATCGTACTTGTTTTTCGATTCGTTTCCACGCGCTCACTCCTTGCCACCCACTCGTCTTCTGGTTTTGTTGCCTGTGTCCCTACTATTTCATCTTTATATATTGACCATGTTTATGCGTAGCGCCGTTTTCAAACCCCAACTGCGTGGTCCAGGCCTTCACCAGCCAGTCACCTCCGGCGCCTTCACTTACACCTCTTCCTCGAGCTTTCTCCGTGCTGCAACCAAGCACCTTTTTCAGACCTGCCCCCGTCCAATCCGGTTCGCTCCCCTCTCTCATGCTACCCTGCACTCTTCCTCCCCATGTTCTTAATACCGTCTATTAAGACAGCACAAGCTTATCACAGCTACCCCCAAGAGACCAAAAAGTGCATGGAGAGAGCTCCTCGTCGTTAATCTTCCCCTTTTCTCAACTGCTTTCCATATCTCTGCCACTGTTTCTTTCTTTTGTTTACAGAGCCCGGTGCATTGTGCCATTGGAACAAACGGTCGCCTAGCTGGGACGTTCTTGAAAACAACAGAAAAAAAAGCCTCCGCGATCGCATAAATAGTAGTGACGATAAAATAGCATAGAGTACGACAGTGCCAGGAACAACCCCGTCCTCCCCCCTTGTCTCCTGCACGCCCTTGCCACCATCTTTCTCGCCTCCCTTCCTCCTTTTTATCTCCTTGTTCTTCCCTCCCCTGGGCCGAAAAGAAAAGACATGGGGGCCGCCTGCTTGAGGTGGATGGACCCGCCGCGCCTAGAACCTCTAGCTAATGGTAGAACATGTTAGTCTAGGTCTTGTTTTTCTTTACAGTCATGTCATAGCAGCCTCTTTATTTTTATTTTTGTCGTCTCCCACAAACGTCGATACTATTGTCTTTTTATTCTGATTCTTATTTATCGTCATTTACCCCCCCCCCCCCCCCCCCCTTTAAAAAAAATTTCACCGTTACTTTTCACTGTCTGTCCCTCCCCACCCGCTTGCTATCATTCTCTCATCGCACAAATCGCCACTCGGTTACACGTAATACCCCTCCTCTCACGACGACCACGACGACCATAAGGACGACGACAGGACACCCAAACACCGACGAGTCCCGAGACCCAGTACCGTTGTGTCCGCCCCTGGCCTTGAACCGCTCGGCTTATCCACTGGTGCTTGCCATTTCATGGGGATTCCATTCTCCATACACCCATATATTAGAACGCCCCCGATATATATCGAGAACGTCTCGTCTTTCCCGCTTTGGACCTCTGCTACTCGTTTCTGTCATATTTTTTGGTTTGCTCGCTGGAACGTCGATTACATTTAATTGCTGGCCGTTTTGTTTTACTCTTAATTCTTTTTTTTTGATCACTTAATTCTCTTCCCGTTTGGACCTGTTTCCTCTCCGCCCACCCCCTCGCTCTCCCGTCTCCTCCTCTTCTATTCCGGGGAAAACAAAAACGGCCGGAGCTGCAAGCACTTTATCTCGAGCTCGACCCTTTTCTCTTCCCGTGTTTTGTTTGTCTTCATTGTTGAACTCTTTTTTACTCTTTCTGTCCCTACCTCTTTGTATTGATTGTTGTGTGTTTTGTTGTCTTTTTGTCCCGCTTTCATTTAGATTCCCGTGTTCCAGCCTCCCGTTTGTCCTCGTCCCGCGCCTATTCTCATAAGCTCAATGGACCATATTGTCCGTTGTATGCTCGATGTCGACCCCAGTGACCTCTACTACGACCCAGACCTCGACGAAGACCTCGATTTGGACACAGACGACGTTGACAGCAAATATACCACCTCCAGCAGACACCAGCATCAAGGCCGCGGGCCGGCTGTGTATTCATATATAGAAGCGAACGCCCCGACAATGGATCAGGTAAGTATTCCTTTACTTTTTTGTTATTTCCCCCCTTTCCCCCTTCGCACCCCATCATCTCCTCCATCATGCCGTCTACTACGGCCTTGACTATGGCCACAACGCCGTCGCCACGACGGTCGCCAAGGCGGCCGTCCAAAGCGTCGCCCATGCGTCCCTCTCCTCGAAAGTCACCAGCATCCCCAGCCTCGCCAACCTCGCCATCACCGACCTCGCGGTCAAGCACGTCCCAATCAAGGCCGTCTCTTACTTACATGTCTCTCCTCCTCCATCAACAGCAGCTGCAGCAGCTGCACAAGCAGCAGGCACCTCTGCCTGCGCCGCCCGCCGACGAAAAGGAAAAGCAGCCGTACATCTGGCGGATGCACTCGCAGGCCGAACGCAAGTACCAGCTTTTCCCCAAAGACAAGCAGCACCAGTCTACTGCTGGCAAGAGCATGGATCCGGAGCAGGCCTTTGCCATGGCGATGGGAGGCAGCAATGCCACGACGACTGCCGGCACCTCCACAGCCGCTGCCGCTGCCGCCGCCGCCGCCACCACCACCGCCGACAAGTCCAACCCGGGCCTCCGTCTCCGCATCAAAGAGCACACTCTTATCCGCCGCCGCAAGATCAGTGTCCCCGAGCTGGGGCCCATGACCACCGTTCAGGAAGTTGCCATGGATTCTCGTAAGCGTCCCTTCCATTTTTGTACTGTCGTGATCTGTGCCTTCCGTTGTAGGCTTCCCGTTGAATCGCTCCTTCCTAACGTTGTGACAGCCACGATCCCGGGACGTCCGCCCCTTCATGAACGCTCCATCAGCGCGCCTGGCAACAGCTGGAAGCAGCACCACCTGGTCGACTGCATGATCCCACAGACCTCGTTCTACGACGACATCCCCGAGCAGAGCGTCTACGTCTCGTACGATTCGGTGCTCAGCAGCAGCCCGCTGGATGTGCCGCGCTGCAACTCGGCCCAGGCGGTGCTCTCGCCCTCCAGAGGCGACAGCGGCAGTCCGGCACCGGCAGCCAACGTCCCGACGCTGACGACATCCGCTTCGTCGCCCTCCATCGCCAGCCGGCAGCCGCTGTCGCCCAAGAACCTGACGCCGCTCGTCATTCCGCCGACGCACGCCAGCTCGCACGGCTACGGCCATTCGCATACCCACCGCCACCACTACCAGAACCACCAGGCCTCGTCCTCTCTTTCCGGCCCGTCTCTGCGTCCCGCGGGCTCTGCGTCGGCGACGACGCCGCTGTCCTCGCAGAGCAGCCGCTTCCGCTCGGGCAGCACGCCCGCCGAGTCGGCGGCTTTGCGGTCTGCTCGCTCGGACGAGTCGCCGCGTACGCGCACGCCCTTTACACCATTTACGCCGTACACGCCGCTGTCCGCCATGTCCAACCCCTCGACGCTGCCCACGCCCGTGTCGGCTTCGTCCACCGTGCACACCCAGATCCCGGCCGAGGTATCCCGCGCCTCGCCGAAGCTGCGGACGGACGGCAACAACTACACCGTCTCACCGAAGCCAAAGGAGAAGGACGCTGAGAGAGCGGAAAACGTGGACACAAGGTCCTCAAATGCAGGCCATGTGACGCCGCTGCCCGCTGAAACGTCGGAGCTACGCAGCGCACCCCCACAGCCGCAGCCGCAGCCGCAGCCGCTCTCACAGGGTCTGTCAGCAGCGGCATCGGTGTCCGCCGCCTCAGCTGCTGCGTCTGCCGCGGCCTCGGCCGCGGCTTCGGCCATTCTCAAGACGCTCCCGACGGCGGCATCGATCCTGGGCCACCGACGTGGACAGTCGGAATCCGGGAGCATTATGGAGCGTGGCCGGCCGCGGAAGCGGAGTGCGTCACGCGAGGGCTCGGCTTCGGCCGCCATCAACGCCACGGTGGCTGCGGGCATCTCCGTGACGGCCAACACGGGAACGACTGCGGCCCAAGCCCAGTCGGCGTCGGCGGCCGTGGTGTCGACGCCTGCACCGACCGCGTCCGCCACGACGACCACCCCCGTCATCAGCAGCAGCACCACCACCACCACAACACTCAGACGCTCCAACTCCAAGGCCAGCAAGAGCGCCGAACGTCGCGCCTTTGAGCTGCTACCCCGCGGCCACAAGGCGTCGGAAGCACCGGCCGTCCTGGGCGCCAGCGAGGCCGCCGCCCTGGCCACGCAGGCCCTCCAGCAGGCCGCGCGCTTCGAGGTTCTGCGCAAGGAAGACGTCGACAGCCTCTCCCGCGAGCTGCGCAACCTCGACGACCGCACCGAGTACCTGCGCCGCACCTACACCTCGCTGCGTGCGGGTCGGCGCAACCTGCACGGGCGCATCTGCCAGTATCTGCGCAGCCCCCGCGTGGCCAAGTTCAGCCACGACTCCATGCTCAAGCAAGAGGAGGCCCTGGCCGAGCTCGACACATCCATCGATGACTGGGTCACCAAGCTGGAGCAGGCCGAGAACCGCCGCACGCGCGTGCGCCAGAAGCTGCTCGAGCACGTCGCTGCGGCCGCCACGCTCCCCCTGACATCGTCCCTGGCCGCTGCCGCCGTGGCTGCGGCTGGTCTGGTGCCGGCCACGCCGGCTACCCTGCCGCCCTCGGCCACGACCAGCCCCTCGGCGAACACCGGCGTCGTCGGTTCGAGCGAGAGCCTGCAGATGGCCATGGGCATCAAGCCGCCCTCGCCGCCGTACGCCGCCGCTGCTGGTGCTGCTCACGGCGTGCCGTCCATCTCGACGCCGCCGCGCAGCCCGACCAAGTCCGCCTTCCAGTCGGGCGGCCACGCCCCGTCATCGTCATCGTCGTCGTCGTCGTCGGCGACGGCCGCCGCCGCCGCCATTCATCACGCCTCCATCGTGTCTCCGGTTGCTGCCGCGTCCCCCTCGCCTCAGCGGCCCATTGTGGCCCAGGTGCCCTCGACGATCCTCGAGCAGCCCGTGGTCGAAGAGGCCATGGCCACGTTCAGCAAGGACAAGGACTTGCCGGTGCCGCGCACGCCCACAACCCAGACGGCCCCGGCCGCCAAGCCTGCCAAGCCGTCCACAGCCAGTGTCTTGTCGGCGGTTACGGCGTCGCCTCTGTCGCCCGCCAGCACCCTGGCCAGCGGCCGCCGTGTGGATGTGGAGAGCATCCGGGTCTATGCCGGCGACGACGTCTACGCTCTGTTGGCCGACGTCGAGAACCAGATCACCCAGATGGGTGTGCCGGCCGGTGCTGCCGCTGCTGCCGCTGCTGTCGTTGCAGGAGGAGCCCACTCGGCCACTGCCGGCGCCCAAGACTACTTCTCCACCCCCCGCGATGCCGTGCAGTCTGATGAGGACCGCAAGCGTCTGCATCGTGCACACAGCCAGGAGCTGCTGAGCGGCGGTTCCGGTTCTGGTTCCGGGTCTGGTTCGGGCTCTGGTTCGAAGCGCGGTACTCCCACACCACCCGCGTCGCCTACTACCGTCGACGCCCCCATCAGCCGCCCGGAGTCGCCCGCGGACTCCGTCGAGATCTTCTTGACCAGTGCCGTCTTCCGTCCGGAGCGGAGCATCCTGGCTATTTAATAATTTTACCTTTTGCCTTTTGCCTTTTGTTGGTCCACTTACGATTTCTTACGCTCCTTTCGACACAAACGCAAAATGTCCCTGAACGTTTTATTTATACGACTTTACACCTATGAAACGGCCGACCCGCATTACAATCATTAGCCTCTTTTTATCGTTCTCTTGCGCGCAAAATACATTGGAAAAGCGTTCTTTTTATCCTATTTTTATTTTATCCTCGACTTTCTTGCCAGCCGTTCCTTTTCTTCGCTTCTCCATTTCATTTCGTGCATCCAAGCCAGCCGCCTGGCTTCTGATACCCCCATTTTTGTATCTTCTCGTCCTTCCTTTACGGCATTTTCATACCTATCTTCAACATTTGAACCGTTGTTTACATTGTATCACTTTACACTACTATTTTTAACAGCCCGCATCCACTACTTTCCCTTCCTGGCCCACCCGACCGACTTCAGACTGCGTTACCACAAACCACCATTTCATTAGCAAGGCGTTTATTGCTTTTCTGTTTACTGCTCTCTTTCCTGTTGGTTTGGTACAAACCGCCGGCTCGTTCACTTTATTTCCTTGCGTCTAGGTATCTGCACTTTGCACCGTCTCCTTTTCCTACCACCTGTATCATAGCATCTTCTCGCATCTTGTCAAGTTTCATCTTTTGCCATTCTTGTACTCTCACATCATACCCTGCTCGCATTGGGGCGACAGGCCATACGGTGTTTTGCCTTTACAGTCATGTAAGAGACACATACTCACTTTGTCAACCCAAAATGGAATCAACTGAAATATACATTCAATATTCACAAAATGTCGACGCCTACTTTGACTGTGATCCTTCATAACACGTTACTGTGCTCAGAAAAAAAAAAGAAGAAAGCAAAAGAAGAAGAAAGCAAAAAAAGAAAAAGAAATTTTCTCCAAACGTCTCCATTCCAACGAACCACTCTCGTAAAAGTCATGGGCCCCGTGTATGTCGTAAGATCCCGTCAACCCATAAACTGTCCATCTCCATAACACCGTCTGGCAACTGCTCTTTCTGTTCTAGCGTCGCCGAAGAAAGCCGCCGCCAAAGTGGAGTGGCCTGCTGTTTGGAGCCTCTCGAAGCTTTCTGGTCGCACGCTGGGGCCTATGAGACCTTCAGAGGCGGCAAATTGTTCGTTTTTAGAGGGCTCTCAAGTAGTATTTTTGCCGTCGCACGCGATGAGTGGGGCCCACCTCCCTGTCCGATCTTCCTTTCGTTCCCTTTCGACTCCTTTGCTCTTTCCCAAAAATGACTCGCGGCCGAGCAATGCTGGAAAAGCTCACGTCCGCATGGAGCAAGTGGGATGTCCTCGATCTGACTTGACACACAAAGGCCTACCGTCAGCGCCTACCGTCAGCGCCTGCCATCAGCGCCCGTCCAGCATCACTCACCAGTAAAGCCCTGCCTTGCCTGCCTTGTCCAGTCAGGTTCCTTCCCGCGGGGTGAGCCTAAAGATTCCTGCCGCATCGCTGTTTGACCGGACCAAAATCGAAGTCGAAACATATCTTACCTTCCTACTTCGGCACTTGGAACGAGAACCAAACAACTCCCTTTCTCTTTCTCACTCCAATCTTGTTTTCCTTCCTTCCAATTACGGACATTGTTTGTAATTGTACGCATACTACGTACTCCGTACGCTCCAACTGCAAAAAAAGGGTCTCCACCGAGCGATCTCGCACCTGCCTCGCCGTTTTGCCGTCTTGTCCTCTTCCCTTCCCTCATGAGAAGCACCTTCCTCGTTCAAAGGACAGCACCTGCCGCATCCTTTGCCTCGCTCGCCTCGTTACTACTTGCTACGCGTCGCGTTCCACGGCACTTCCTTCCGAGCTCTGTATCGCTATCTTTCTTCTCAACTCCCTCGACGACCCAATCGACCCAATCGACCCAATCGACTCAATTGCAACTCAGAACTCTCCCTAACGCTCATTTCGCCCAGCCGCCGTCGCCAATCTCGATCCGAAGCGTACAAAACACCCTCCGCGGCCGCTCGTTTTCGACTTTGACCAATCTCCAAGCTTCCCTCTCTGCTGTCGACTCGTCCTCTACATACAAACCCTCTACCACCAAAACCATGGGCAAACGCGACGCCAATACGGCGTCCAACTACCACGTCTGGCGCAACAACCACACCACCGCTACCCTCAAGATTGACTTTGATGCCCAGGTGCTGCGCGGCCATGTTGTCCAGGACTTTTCCCGCCAGCCCGCAGCGGACGGCGAGGACGCCAGCGAGATCATCCTCGATACTAGCTCCGTGGATGTGAAGGCCGTTTTCGTAGACGGCAAGGCTGCGCCCTTTGAGGTCAAGCCGCGCGCTGGTCCGCTCGGCGAGCCCCTGCACATTCGGCTGCCGGCGGCCCTGGCTTCGGCGCCGGCGGGCGCCACCGTCCGCGTGCGCATCGACGTCTCGACCACGGCCGCGTGCACGGCGCTGCAGTGGCTGACGCCCGCCCAAACGTCCAACAAGAAGGCGCCGTTCATGTTCTCGCAGGCCCAGGCCATCCATGCCCGCTCGCTGTTCCCCTGCCAGGACTCCCCGGACGTCAAGTCCACCTACTCGTTCCGCATCGCCTCGCCGCACCCCGTCGTGGCCAGCGGTCTGACCGTCACCGACGCCCGTGCCCAGCAGGTCGCGGAGGACGACGACATCCTGGCGTCTGTCAGCGCCAAGGATACGCTGTACGTCTTTGAGCAAAAGGTGCCCATCCCCGCCTACCTCTTCGCCCTGGCCTCGGGCGACATTGTCACGGCGCCCATTGGCGCGCGGTCCGTGGTCGCCACGAGCCCCGACCAGCTCAAGGCCTGCCAGTGGGAGCTCGAGCAGGACATGCCCAAGTACTTGGACGTGATTGAGAAGCTCGTGTTCCCCTACGCCTGGGGCGAGTACAATGTGCTTGTTCTGCCGCCCAGCTTCCCCTACGGCGGCATGGAGAACCCCATCTTCACCTTTGCGACGCCGACCATTATCAGCGGCGACCGCCAGAACGTGGATGTCATTGCGCACGAGCTGAGCCACAGCTGGAGCGGCAACCTGGTCACCAGCAGCAGCTGGGAACACTACTGGCTCAACGAGGGCTGGACCGTGTACCTGGAGCGCCGCATTGTCGCCGCCATCCACGGCGACGCCTACTTTGACTTTTCCGCCGTCATCGGCTGGAAAGCCCTCGAGGGCGCCGTCAAGAGCTTTGGCCCCTCGCACGACTACACCAAGCTGCTCATCAACCATGACGGCATCGACCCGGACGACGCGTTCAGCACCGTGCCCTACGAGAAGGGCTTCCACATGGTCTACTACCTCGAGCGCCTCGTCGGCCGTGCCAACTTTGACAAGTTCATCCCATACTACTTTACCAAGTGGAGCGGCAAGTCCCTCGACTCGTACGAGTTCCGCGACACCTTCCTCGAGTTCTTTGCGAAGCCCGAATTTGCCAGCCTCAAGGACGCCGTGGCCGGCATCGATTGGGAGGGCCGCTTCCACACGCCCGGCCTGCCGCCCAAGCCCCAGTTCGACACCTCGCTCATCGATGTCTGCTACAAGCTTGCCGAGCAGTGGAAGGCCAAGGACTTTGTGCCCTCGCCCAAGGACGTCGAGGGCTGGGCGGCCAACCAAATCATCGTCTTTTTGGGCGAGATCCAGAGCTTCACCGAGCCGATTACCGCGGACCAGTCCCAGCGGATGGGCGCCGCCTACGGCTTGGTCGATACGCAAAACGTCGAGGTCAAGGCGGCCTACTACGTGGCCTCCCTGCGCGCCCAGGACAAGAGTACCTACCAAGGCACCGCCGACCTGCTCGGCACCGTTGGTCGCATGAAGTTTGTGCGGTCGCTGTACCGCGCCCTCAACCAGGTCGACCGCCCGCTGGCCCTGGCCACCTTTGAGAAGAACCGCGACTTTTACCACCCCATCTGCAAGGCCATGGTCGAGAAGGACCTCAGTCCGGATGCGATGCGGACATGAGCCGTGGTCAGGTGGTTACCACTCGATTCCGGACGCGACACTCCCGATCGAGGACCCTCTTCTTATGACTGATTCTGCACTGCATTTTTTTATACACTTGGCGTCATTGAATGGAGACACGAGAACGAACGAGAGCATTGACATGTTCGGCACTGCTGCATACATTTTGGATCCATCACAGGCCTTGCGATCTCATTACACATATATAGCAATGGGAAATTTTACAATACAATAGAATCTCATACTGGACCTGAATTGCAGTGAAAGGGTGGAAAAGGGCAGGCGCGTACGGTTAACTGAAACCGACGAAGCGCTCCTTCTCCGAACGTTGAAATCTCACGCGCCGCGCCTTCCTCTTCGGTGACACACCTTGTATTTGCCAAATGGGCCCCTTTTATTTTCGTATTGTCCATCTCCTTTCATACCGAGTCCTTTTCATCCCATACAGTTGCTACTACACCACACACATGAAAGGTAAACAATCCGATGTATGACATACCCCTGTTGTTGTACATTCATCGTACTTCATACTAATCTAATTAGGACACAGACACGAGGGCGCCGACCACGAAGAAACAATTCGACAGGCCATCGATTTGCGGAGAATAACAAACCCGCAAAAGTCCAAAAAAAAATGCTCGATTCTGTGTCTCTGCATCGAAGGATTGCCGGTGTGCATGCAGAACAAGGGTCCGTTTAGGCGTTGATGGCGCTTCTCCTATCAATCTTTGCATGAAGAGGGGAACCGGCCTGCAGGATCGTAATGCTCCACAACGTTGCGCTTTGTCCAACATCTCCGACGTGGCTGTGTTGCTTGGGCGTCTGAATCTCTCGACAAGGCTGAGAAGGAGGTGGCTTAATATAAATAGGGGGACAGCTGCCACTATTGTACAGAGTTGCCTGGAGTCATATCGATCCTCATCAGGCTCGCCCCTGCTCGGACATTTTCTGCCCCTCATTCAACTTTATGATGGCGTTCCTCTGCTTGCTGTGCCACCAGGCCGGCCACAAGACGGCTGACTGCCCCGATGGCAAGCAGCCTCGAGGCACCAACAAGCCGGGCCCTAAAGCAATCCTGTCCTTCCCTCCCACGAGTGCCCAGAAGCAGCCCGACACGCTCTGCGACCGCTGCGATGGCCTCCGGCTGCTCGACCTCTTGCTGCGCGAGGATGTGCAGGACGAGCTCACGAGCGACTTTGAGTTGGCCATTGACAACTATCAGCTCTACCGCAGTCTGGGTTCGTACCGCAGCATCGAGCTCGTCGACAGCTGCCCACTGTGCCGGCTGCTGTTCAGCATCTTCCCGCCCGAAGACACAAACATTGAGCCTTCAGACGAGTATCTCCTCAAGCCGCTACGGACATACAACCGGCTCGGAGGGTCCTTGAAAGGCGAGAAGAAGGCGCACCTGTACGAGCAGTACACGGTGTCCATTTCCATCATCGCGAAGCCCATGGTCAGCAGGCAGGCTGTGGAGCTCTTGGCCACCGCAGACTACCGGTTCAAGTACGATACATCGATTGGTATCGTGGGCCACCCGAGCTTGCCATCGTCAGGGCCATCACCGCCCTCGACTACCAGAAGCGGACTGCCTATACGGGTGCGGGACCCTGTCGTCGATTTCAAGACAATTCAATCTTGGCTTCACCGCTGCGATGCCGAGCACTCTGACTGTAGAAATGTGTGGGTCGACGAGCTCCTTACAACAAGCATGATCGATGTACAGACGATGACTATCGTCCCCTGTCCGCCGAATTGTGAGTACCTGGCACTCAGCTACGTATGGGGCCCCATCGTCCCCGAACCGAACGCGCTGAAGAAGGGCACGCTGCCCGCGACAATTACCGATGCCATGGAGACCACCAAGCAGCTGGGCTTCCGCTACCTCTGGATCGACGCACTTTGCATCGACCAGGACCCATCTTCACCCGTGAAAATACAGCAGCTGAGCATTATGGACCGTATCTATGCTGGTGCCTACGCAACGCTAGTCGCCTTCTATGGCGACAGCTCTCTTTTTGGCCTCCGGGGCACAACACAGGCGCGCGCTCGCACGGCCCAGCCGCGGGAAACAATTGTCGATTTCAATGGCGACGGCTCGGCCTACGAATTGTCCGCCATGTACCCGACGATGACGGCCGAGTGGGAGTACCCGACGTGCACGCACCGGACTCGCGCATGGACTCTGCAAGAGGAATACCTGAGCCAGCGGCTGATCATTTTCGGGCAGGATCAGGTGCACTACCGGTGTCAGAACGTGATCCTGCAGGAGACGGTCGACGAGACTATAGACCCAGGCCATGTTCTGGATCTACTCGCATTAGGCGAGGAAGAGAGTGGAGAGTATTTCCGCGAACTTTCACGTAGCCGTGCCCTTGGAAGTGGAAGCAGCACCGGCAAACAGAGCGGTACCGGGCCAACCCCCGCTCGCCGCCGTCAGATGGCCGCCACCCAGTTTGCGAGCTGCATCAGTGATTACACGGCCCGCAAGATGGTGTATGACCGCGACTCTCTCAATGCCTGTCTCGGGATGCTCAGCTTCCTACGCCGCATGGCCGATCTAAGCGAATTTGTATGGGGCCTACCGCTGCGGGACTTCCCCGTGTCGCTCATGTGGTGTCACAGCGCCAGCTCCGGCACTGGCAACGCCAAACCAAAGCCACCTCGCCGCCGCCCGGCCTTCCCCTCATGGTCATTCGTTGGCTGGGAGGGCGAGGTCTCGTATCTGCTTCCCGACAACCTGCTGCCGACGGCGGAAAAGACGGAACGCGTGCGCGAGGATATGGCCCGCAAGGAGATGGCGCTCGACCTTTGCATACAGTTTGTCGATATCCAGGACCAGACGCTCACCGTGGCTGGCTGGACGGTGCGCTTCGACATCCAGACGGCGCCCTTCAGCACGGCATTTGTGCCCGGAAAGCCCGATGAGCCCATTGGCATGCTCACGCAAAACGACGAGCGGCACCCGACATCGCTCCCTCCGGGCGTTTTTGACTTTGTGGTCGTGCAACGACTTACGCGCGACATGGGCAACGGGCGATTCCGGCATGTGTTATACCTGGTCATGTTGGACGACAACGGGCCAGGTGCGGTGCCGTCGCGGCGGACGCTCGTGCAGTGGAATGTCGAAAGCAGCTTCATACCGACGCCAGCATATGAAGCCATGTTGAAGCGGAACGACAATATTCAGATGGTGTAGGGCTCACAATGGTAAAGTGCCGAATAAACATACGCCTTTGTTACAACAAAAATACACTTTGGATATTGGACATAGAAACAGTGCTTTGTTCTTTCAACTTTATGCATTATACTTTCCTTACACACCCTGCGCTTTATTCCATTGTACGCATTTTCTTTCATAGAACAGTGCGCAACCGTTTATTTTGAACATGTCTACAAAACAAAGCGCTTGTCATTTTGTTTTGACCACAAGTCTTTGTTGTTCTGCCACACACCGCCTCTGTTTCTTTGTACTTTTGTAATTTGTTGCAGGTCTGTTCTTCTGTTCATGAGTTCCTATTTTTGTATAAAGCACAGCCGTCTGCATTTTTGCATTTGAATATGATGAGAAGAAGCTGTCAAACGTCCTACCTTTATTTTCTTATTCAACCTTCACATCTCCTGGAGAGATATACCACATTTATTTCTACTTTCCTTTGCACATTCTTCTTTCTTAATTTTGTTCTGAGATTCTGTATCTCGCTACTCTACTAAATTACCCCCATCCGTTTTCACCAATTCCCCGTTTATTTTCTCTCCTTTTTCACCACTTTAGCAAAATGAACCGCGACAGGGAGGAGCTTAAGAAGCTGCGCGATTACCAGAAAAGGATCAACCTAGCCTTTGCCGCGTACCGCAGGGGCAACATTTATGCCAGAGACATGAGGTCGAAGTACCCGCGAGCCATCCTCGACAATGTGCCACACCCTATGATACAAGACCGCGGGAAGGTCGTTCACAAGGTCTTTGAATTCAAAACCAAAGAGCATATGAACCACTTTGTCAAGGAGATGAAGGCCCAGGACTATCACCCCAACAAGCGCTATTCCATGTCCGACCTTGAGACGAATAGACGGAGAGACGTGCAGAAAACAATCAACCTTGTTGCCCGCCGTCTGTTCCGAGCGGGCATCCGCTTTCGTCGTGTTCTCTCCTGCGGCGGCATGGGCATGGCAGCGCTTTTCGAGACGGCAAACAGCGTGACAGGCCTCTACAACAAGTGCGTCGCCAAGGTCTCCCTGTCGGAAGACAACGCACACGACCAAATGGAGCACGAGAAAAACGTGACGCGCTTGCTACACGGCGCCCCGCACATTATCCAGATGCTCAGCGTCGACGAGCTGCGGGCCCTGCCCGGTGGCTACAAGACAGAGGCTGTCGAGGGCGTGATGCCCGACGACCCGGCAGTGTGCCCGAAGCCCCAAGACGACGCCACCGTCAAGGACATGGTCCAAAACGCCAAGGACGTCATGATTCTCGAGTATCTACCTTTTGGTCCGCTCGACCACTGGATCGCCAAGGCGGAGCAGCTGGGCCTGGGCTTCTCCAACGAAGTTTGCTGGCATCTGCTGCTCTGCCTCGCCAAGGCTTGCCTGGCCATGAAATATCCCACCGCCTGCCAGCCCAAGGACCTGCCTGTCGAGGCCGATCTTGATCCATATGCGCCGCACGCTGGTACAACGGCACAGCACAACGCTGCGGCCACAGGTAATAATAGCAGCAACAGCAACGTGCCAGCGACATCGTCAGTCTCCGAGTTACACAACATTGTGCATTTCGACCTCGACCCGAGCAACGTCCTCGTGGACGCGTCCAACGACGGCTGCGGCAAAGTCTGTGCCAGCGCTCGCATTCCGAAGCTCAAGGTCGCCGACTTTGGTCTTGCCGTTGACAGATCCAAGGTGGACCTTGATGAGACTAACTTTACCTGGAAATATCGCTTCTGTGGCAAGCCCAGCTACTGTACGCCCGAGCAGTGGACAGCCGAGTGGGAGGCTGTCACCGACCGGCCAAGCGCCGCCGGGGCGCAGATCGCAGGGCAGTACGACGAAAAGACCAACATCTACCAGATGGCCCTCATCATGCAGGGGCTCATGCTGCGCAAGAGCTTCCACAGTGCTGCCCCCCACGCCGGGTTTGCCCCCGTGCGCGACTGGCGGCACCCTGCCTTCCCACGATTCCTCGACAACCAAGCCGAGTTTGACCGGGTTGTACAAGTGGCCAACGACACCAAGGTTGCTCCCCAAGGCGTCCGTATGATTGCGACCATAGCGTGGATGCTCGACCACGAATCGCTGCGCGCCGAGACGTGGGCCAGCCAAGCAGGCGGCCGCAAGCAGCAAGTGCCGGCACCGTCGCGGCTGTACGAGTGGCGGCTGCGCGAGCTGGTGATGCGGTGCGCGGCGTACGAACCGTATACCCGGCCGACGGCGGCCGAGCTGGTCCGCTTGATCGAGGAGCGTCTCGCAGACGGCAATTTCGGCGCCGGCGCGGCCGAGGCCGAGCAGCTGTTTGCAGAGGTGAACAAGCCCGAGGAGCCGCAGCCGAAGCGTGCGTACAGCAACTTGATCGGTGCGGTCGGACGCATGCAGCCTCACAGGGACGCAAAGTCACGCATTCAGGACATTTTTCGTAAGAAGTGATGTCCAAGGCGAGTGCCAAGGTAGGTGATGTGCCAGGTCCATTCAACGAGCTGCACGTAAGGTGAGTTGTCCTTTTTTCAACAGTCGACTACTATGTATGACGTAAATCCATTTTGTAAACTGTTTATATTGTTTTGATATTGGTATGCCCGCACATGAAATAAACAATGTGGTCCATGAAACGTCGTGCCGAGTGAATGATATGACCCCCCCCCTGTAATCGTTCCTGTTTTCGTTCATTACGTAAAATACCTCCGAGTATCTCCAAAATCCAATAGCATAGAGCACATTCCGTTGCCTCCTTTTATCCCCCTCCGCCGCCTTACATCCGGTCAACGGGGTTCAGGCCCAGGAGGCGCATGCCGTTGTTGAGGACGATGCGCGCCGACACGTACAGGGCCATGCGGGCCTTCATCAGCTCGGGCTCGCTGCCCACGACCTGCAGGTGGTCGTACGACGAGCTCAGGGCGTGCGTCATCTTGAAGAGGTAGGTGAGCACGGTGGTCGGCTCCAGCGTCTTGAGCGTGTTCTGGACGACGTCGGGCCACTGCGCCAGCAGCCGCACAATGTTGACGGCGTGGGGCTCGGCGAGCAGCGACGTGTCGGCGGAGGCGAGGTCGGCGTCGGACAGGTTGGCGCGGCGCTCAATGGAGCAGACGCGGGCGTGGGCGTACTGCAGGTAGGGGCCGGTGTCGCCCTCGAACGAGGTCATCTTGTCCATGTCAAAGGTGTAGTTGTTGATGCGCTTGCCGGTCATGTCCTGGACCATGACGGCGGAGATGCCGAGGATGTCAGCGGTGGCCGCGGGGTCCTCGACCTGCTGGTACTTGGCGTCGTTGGCGCGCATGACCTCGTGCATCTTGTCAGCGACGTCGCGCAAGATGTCGTCGAGAAACTTGACGGTGCCCTTGCGGGTGCTCATGCCGAGCACGAGGCCAAAGTTGACGTGCTGGCACTTGTCGGCGAGGGCCTTGTCGCCCATGAGCTCGACAATCTTGAAGAGCTGCTTGAGGTGCAGGTCCTGCGCGGAGGCGACGACGTAGATCATCTTGTCAAAGCGGTAGCGCTCCGCGCGGCCGAGCAGCTCGCTGATGTCGCGCGTCAGGTACAGCGCGGTGCCGTCGCGCTTGCGCACGAGCGGACGCTCCAGGCGCTTGCCCTCCTTGCCGGGGACGTGCTTGGCAAAGTCGACAATGAGGGCGCCGTCGGACTCCTCGGTGATGTGCAGGTCGGCCATGCGCTGCGCCGACGCGGCCATGGCGGCCTCGGGCACCTGGGACTCGCCGCTGTAGCTGTCAAAGACAATGTTGAGGCGGGCGTATGTGTCCTTGTAGCGCACAATGGACATGTCGCGGAACCGGCGCCACTGGGCCACGGCCTTGTCGTCGCCGTCGGTCATCTTGCGGAAGTACTGGCGGGCCTGCTCGTCGAGGCCCGCGTCGGCCAGCTGCTGCGCCTCCGCCGTCTGGCCCGCCTTCTTCAGCGCCTCGATCTGCTCCTTCTCGGCCGCGAGCTCCTTGTTGATGGCGACGTACAGCTCGTACAGGTGGTTGATGGGGTCGCGCTCGAGGGCCGCCTCGTCGCCGTACCGGTCAAACGACAGCGCCAGCAGGCCGTACTGCTTGCCCCAGTCGCCCAGGTAGTTGATGCGCACGACGTCCCAGCCGGCGTTGGCGTACAGGTTGGCCAGGAAGCCGCCGATGATGGTGCTCCGCAGGTGGCCCGCGTGGAAGGGCTTCGCAATGTTGGGGCTCGAGAACTCGATGACGATGCGCTTCTGGCCCTTGCTCGGGTCCGCGGGGTCCTGGAGGCCCAGCGTCCGGTTGTTGCCAAACTCTTTGCCCTGCGCGCGGATCAGCGGCAGCGTGTACCGCAGCAGCGGCGCCGGCTTGAAGAAGAACTGCACAAAGTAGCCATTGACCGTCGGCGCCTCGACGAGCGGGTCGTTGGGCGGGAAGGCCGCCACCCACTCGGCGGCCAGCGCGTCGGGCTTCTTGCCCTTGACGCGGAGCGCGGGCGTGGCCAGGATCAGGTCGCCCTTGTCGAGACCCGTGGTCCACTGCAGCGCCGGGTAGACGAGGCTGGCGTCGACGCCAGTGACTTTTGTGAGGACATTGGTGAGGTGGGCGCGGTAGAGGTCGAAGGGGTTGGTGTCCGGGTGGCAGTTGGGGTACTTGCTCTCGGCCTCGTGCAGGTCGAAGCCCTCGACGAGGCTGGCGAGCTGGTCGACGGCAGCGGCGGCCATTGGTGTCAGTGTGCGGACGCGGTGACGGAATGGAGCAGCAGGAGGAGGAGGCGGCGCCGGAGGAGTCGAAAGGAAGCGCCGGACGGGGAGAGATGTCACCAGACGCGATCGAGGCTGAAATGGGCGAGCTGCTCGAGACGGGAGATGGGTCGGGCGGCGGAGGGCAGCAGTCAGCACAGAAAACGGTGCAGACGAGGGTGGCATAAAGAGAGAGAGTCGAGGAGGAAGAGCCTGGCCTTGGTTGGCAATCGTAGCAGTTGTGATCCGTTTTGTTCGGCTCGTCGTTATCACCAGAAAAAAAATATAGAGTCGACTTTTTTAGCCTCTTTCGCTTTGTTAGCTCAAGGTTGGGTCGTTCCTTCCTCGTTTGGCTGCGACTGACTCAATGGCTCTTGCCGTTGGAGTCATAGCTTTCTTTAGTGCTTGCCATTCAGCGCCTTACTGCTTGCAGCGCCCTAAACTGCGCTGAACCGGCTGCCGGACAAATATTTCTACCGGCCTGAAACACTGTAAAGAAGACTACGAGAACAGCGCGACCCCGCTTTTGGTGCCTTATCTTCTGTAAAAAGCCCAGTGTAAGAGAATTGCCTAATTGGGTCGAAGCGGTGGTCTTCCATTAACTTGTTGATATCGGTGCCAAAACTGGGATGACACGATATTTGCAACGATTTTGGTAAATTCAACACTTCAAATTAAAATCAATCGTTATTTGTGTCATGATGAGCTTTGAAAATGCTCGATTATATCCGTTACAGGGCCTGCAGAACACCAAAGGGGCCAACTACACACGTGGCAAGTCATATCGTCGTTTTCGAAACGAGCATTCAAAATCAAGATCAAAGAAAAACAATGGGCACAAGACGACGACTAGAAGCCGTACTCCTCCACGTGCAGGTGGATGCCTTGCGCGTCAGTGCCCTTGTGGACGGCCCGCTCGTCCGACAGCTTGGCCACACAATTCCGCGCGCGCGCCACCAGTGACTTGCCGCCGCAGACGACGACCGAGGTCTCGCCGCCCGTGGTCTCGACGGCATTGCGGATAAAGGCAGCAATGTCGGGGCGGGTCGTCATTTGCTGCACATGCGAGTCGTCGCTCGCGACGCTGCTGGGTCGGTGGTGTGCTGTGGCTGTGGCAGCGGCGTCGGCGTCGACAGCGGCATCGGCATCGGCATCAGGTCCAGCCGCTGGCGTGATGACCTGCGCCGACTTCTCCACATCCGCCTCCTTGGCCATGCAGCAGGACGAGGTGGCGGCAGGCTCCTGTTCGTCGGGGACGGCGAATGTAGCAGCAAGGGATGACGACGAGCTGTAGCCCTTCTCGTTCTCCCGCGGCGGAGCGGCATCGTCAGCCGCGGCGGTGAGCAGAGCCGGGGCATCGGACGCACGACGGAGAAGTGCGGGCAGCGACTTGGCGTCTTGCGTGACGGCAATGCTGACGGTCAGTTCGATGCCCGAGGTCTTGGCCTTGTCGATGAGCTCATGCAGTCGTTGCACATAGTAACCAATCTCGTCGCCCTTCTTGGCCGCGAGCAAGAAGTCGATGCGCTTGGTGCAGATGGCAGTGTGGTCGGCCTGCAGCACACTCTCGAGAATGGGCAGCGTGAAGGAGGCACCCGTCGATGCGGAGATGAGCACCAGCGTCTCGTAAATGTCCCAGCGCGCCGGCTCGCCATAGGGTCCTGTGACAAAGGCCGTAAATGTGCTGGCCCGGCTGCTGCTGCTGCCATTTCTCGGGCCATACGCCTGCTGCAGCTTCACCGCGCGGTCGTGCAGCCGCTTCGAGAATCCGCCATGCTTGCGCACCACCAACTGGATGCTGTTGCAGATGCACGTGTCGGGCAGCTGGTGGGCGCAGGCAATTGTGAAGGGGTGCTGTTCGAGGGGGCCGATCCAGGGCATCCACAGGTACAAATGCTGGCCCGCCCGCCATGTAAAATGCACGTCCTTGATGGTGACAATGGTAATGTCGTCGCCTACGGCACGAATCTGGGCCTCGTGGCCGATGCGCTGGCCGCCCTTGCAGCGGGACCGATTCGGGGCGCGCACCTTGATGTTCTGCCACAGGAGCATGGCGAAGCGGACGACGCGGTCAAAGGCGAGCGCGGCAATGGCGAACCACACGTTGTACCTGGCATAGGCGGGCACGTGCTGGTAGACCACCCAGAGCAGCACAACAGCCGTGACAATGTGCTGGAGGACAAAGACTTCGTAGCAGAGATGGCGCAGCGGCGCCATGCCGACGACAAAGGACCACAGCAGCAGACCCCAGGCGGCCATGCCGTACTTGCCCATGGGCATGACCTGAAAGAAGATGCTCGTCATGCCGGCCTTGGCGTACTCGTTGTAAAAGTGCCAGCCGTGGACGGACGCCGTCACGAACATGGTGCGGGCGATCCAGCGGTGGGCCCAGTTGAGGCGCTCGTGCGAGGAGCCGGTGAGCATGGCGATGACGGACGACTTGCCGGCGAGCAGGTAGAGCAGGGGCAGCTGGGTGACGGTGACCCAGGCGTTGCGGAAGCCGATGCGCTCCCAAAAGTTGACGTCCTTGATGATGGAGCCGGCGCACATGAAGCCGACGACGATGCCCCAGTAGACGAGCAGCATGAGGACGCGGCCCAGCGGCGGCGGGGTCAGCCAGGTGAAGTAGCGAACCGGGACGTAGAGCTGCGGGTAGCTCATCTCGCGGAAGACGGCGGTCAGGGTGGCCCACGTCTGCAAAAAGGCAGACATGGGTTTTGTCGGGTACTCGCGAGACGAGGACGACCGGGCGCGCAGGCGGACCCAGCTGTCGTAGTAGTTGACAATCCGGACGACGACAAAGGCGCCGACGACGGCAGCGACAATGTACCAGTACGTCCGGGCCAGCGCCATGTTGGTCGTCTGGAACATGTTGGTGCCCATCATCATCATGTCCATGATTGCGGCGGGTGTGGCGTGGCCACGGGGGTGAAGCGGGAGAAGGAAATTGATGTCGATGTGTCGAGGTGTCGATGTTCAAGGCGATGGTGACAATGTTGATCCGGTCAACATCTATGTCGATGTAGGTGTCGGTCTCGGGTGGCGATGATGTGGGGGTGTCGATGGCAGATGTTGGATGGCCAATATTGTCCGATGCAAGTACGTGGTTGTACAGAACGAAGGGCCCAGTCGGTGTAAAAAGAAATAAAATGTACGACCGGAGAAAAGCAGACGTCGTCGGTTCTGTGGATGTGAAGGACAGATGTCGGTCTGTGTAGCATGGGTCGGATGGGATGTGGCAGGACCAGTGGCCAGAAAAGGAAATCTGACGAGATCCACGGCCAGACAACCTGTGTATGACACGACTCTGTACGACAAGACAAGAGAATCTGCAACGACGTTGCAAAAATACCACAGCCGGAAAGCACGGAAGCCGAAACAGTGCAGGAACGAAACCAGGACAGCAACGTCTTGAGAGGGAGTGAAGATCAAATAAAAATAAGTGAGACGATAAAACGAGCGCGCGCAAGTTTATGGGGTCGGCTTGGCGATGGGCAACGCGGGGGCGGTCCGTCAAGTTGAGGAGAGGGGAAGTCTGGCCAAGCAAAGAGATGGCCAAGCAAAGAGAGAGGAGGAGAGGAGCAAGGCCGTGGCCACGGCGATCGACGTTGCAGTGACACAGGGAAGAGACAGAGGAGACGGAGATGGAATTTCTGGTTATGGCGGTAGAGGCGCTGGTTGGTGATGTCTCTGGTATCGTCCACCGTGTGCTCGATGCCGTTGCATCCGGTGTACTGTGAAGGCTGACGACAGAGACCAAAGGCAATGATCAAGACGAGGGGACCGGAGGCGTTGACTTTCTGGTTGGGGTTTGAAATACCTCAAAGAAAATGGGAGAGACGGGGAAGAGCCACGACGAAAACAACGGCAGAAACGGACTACAGCACTAGGGGGGGCATGGCTGGTGTGCCACGGGAAGAGGAAAGAGCGGCATGAAGATGCACACCAAGACGGCAGGAGAACACGACGAGGACTACGAGTACAAGGAAGGACCAACCGACGGGCGACGTGAGCATGCTTTTTTCAGAGTCAACGAGCGTGAGGTGAACCAAAATGGAAGGCGGGACCGAAGCCTGCCAACGTCGTCCGTCCTCGCCAGACGACTCTGCTCAGAACAGACGACAATATTCCAGTCAGAGGCAATCGAAAGGCTTAAAAAACCTTCTCACTACTGCCGGCCGCTTGGACCGGCTAGGACGGATTAGGACGCCACAACTTGCTCAAAGTTGCGCATGGCCTGCAGCTCCTGCCAAACTGCGACGCTGTGCCTTCCCCGTCTCCAGCGCCAAGACCCACATAACTGTCGACGGCAGAGCCTGCAATTGGCTTGGCGAGGCATTGGGGGGTTTTGGGTTGGGAGGGGCTCGAGGGCCTCGTTGTCAGGAACTTGCTCACATGGAGGGGCGGCAGGAGCGACCATGCAGCCAATGTGCAGACAGAGTGGAGCGCCAACATGGACGTCGTAGCGTGTAAGTGCTCACGTTCTTTCCATTTTCGGTCAGCCTGTGGAAAGCAGCCAACTGGTGATAATTGATAATCGGCATCACCAACGCCGCAACGCCGCAACGCCGCACCGCCGCAGCCTACACAACTATAGCAGAGGTAATTAAGGCGCTCGTTGCCATCCAGCCTCCTGCAGGCCTCCCATAGTGTCTTGGCCGCTCAACCAGGGACATGGAACGGGCACGAGCAACGGAGAGAGGCTGCATGGGGCTGGGACAACTGAAATACAACGTACGCCAGACAACCACACAACCAGGACAGTGTCTGCGTGTTGACGAGACATTGAGCCCATCAGCGTGGTTCACTCTCCATCTTCTTATAGAACTGTTTGCGTTCCTGGCCTCGTGTCGTTGATCTGCCCAAAGTGGTCCTCGAGTTGCAGATCCAGCCTTGCAAGAGCACGTTGTTTGACATCTTCAACACGGCCTGGCCCACGATACGGGCGGAGATTAACGAGATGGAGTCGCAGCTAGCATTGATGCTCCAGAACCAGCCAGCTAGCCGACCTGGCAGCCGAATCGCAAACACGCTCACGTCGAGCATCGGTCAGAAAGTGCTTCTTGGGTGTATCAAAGTATCAACTTGAGGCAGGCGCCGGACAAGAAACACCAAGAAACACCCTCACAGGGTCCACACGCCGGCGCATGCGGAAACTACTTCGTACCATCTTCCAATCCCAGCGGCGCCGCCACTCACTTATTCACTTCACGCATGGGAAGCGCCACCAAACAACGTGCCCTAATTAATGTCTAACCAGCGCGGAAAGCACTCAGGCCAAGCGACGTTGTTTCCAAATTTGTAGCTGACAACTAATACTCCCCCCCCCCCCCCCAAAAACGCTCTTTCCCTCACGGAACTCCACACCTCGCCCTGGTCGCTTCCCCCAGCCGAGCTCCATCTAAGCTCCTTCCTCCGTGTGTTCCTTGTGCATAGCTCGGGCCCTGCTCTTGCCCTTTTTGCTTTTTGCCGTTTCTCCTCGTCCCTCATTGCGTACCTCTTTGTCCTATAAGAAGCCGTGTCTTGGCACATCGGGTCTTCTTGTACCTGCCATCCTGCTTCTCTCCGTTTTTATTGAAAACCCAACCCTCCCGCTGCCTCACACACGCAATTTGCTACAACCCTCTGCCCACCACCTTTTCTGCGCAACTACTCGTCTTTCTCTCTGCCACCACATTCTTCTTCTCGCTACCACCACACATCCCCACAATGGCTCCTCTCGCATCTGCCGCTCTCCTGCTCGCCGCCTCGGCCGTCGTCAGCGCACACTTTACGCTCGACTATCCGCCCACCATTGGCTTCGACGACGACAAGGAGGGCACCGGCCCCTGCGGCTCCTTCACCCCCGACTTCGCCAAGGACAACGTCACCGACTTCCACGTCGGCGGCGACAACGTCGCCATCAACCTGCTCCACCCCCAGGGCACCTGGCTGTACCGCGCCACCCTCGACCAGACCGCCACCGGCAACAACTGGACGCAGCTGCACCCGGAGACCATGCAGACGGGCCTCGGCAAGTTCTGCCAGCCCGCCATTGCCGTGCCCGAGAGCTGGGCCGGCAAAAAGGGCGTCCTCGGCATCGTGGTCGATGCGCCCGATGGTCTGCTGTACCAGTGCGCGGCCGTCAACTTTGTGGCGGGCGCCGCCACCCAGAACCAGTCGACCTGCACCAACAGCTCCGGCGTGACGGCGTCGTTTGTGACGGACGCGAACCTGGCGCCGCTGGCGGCCGGCAACAACTCGGCGGGCGACGCGTCCGCCTCAGGCACCGGTTCGAGCGGCTCCACGCCCACGACCACCGGCACCGGCAGCACCGGCTCGTCTACCAAGAACGCGGCACCCGGCCGCGTCGGCGGTTCTCTGCCGCTGGGCAGCGTGGCGGGCGTTGTCCTGGCGGCCATGTTTGGCAGCGCCTTCATGATGCTGTAGGCGGGATGGAAAGGGAAGAGGGCGAACGAGCAAACAGCGCCAAAAAGCGTCGATGATTTAATGTGTACAATATTCCCCGTGATTTGCTTGCTAAAGTCGTGCCGCCTCGTTCCGTTCGCGGCTAATCAAAACGAGTTGTTTTTTACACTTCAGTCTACTATGTGAATGGCTGCCAATGGTGGGGGCGAAGACTGTGAATGTGCGGGTGTGTAAAAAATATTGTCAAAGACCGTACAAGCTATATAAAGTTTTGATTCTAAAGCCAAGAGCTCCCTTCCAGGGACCCAAACTCGGTACAAAATCCAGTTGCATACGCCGTGTGGATACAAAATAAACTTGCCTTGCCCGTGGTATCAATACGCTATAACTGAAAAGAGACAAAAAAAAAAAAAAAAGAAAAGAAAAAAAGAAACGAAAAGAATAAAATCGTGTCGTGGCCGTTGCACGGCGTGGCGTCAGTTGTCCGCCTAGCAGGGCGCCTGCACGTCTTTGCTGCTGTCCAGGCGCACCTTGCCCATGCTGCCCACCATCTCCATGATCTTGGTCGACTCCTGCCACCGCGGGTTCTTGCTGTCGCCCGCACCCGGGTTGCTGCTGGTCCGGCTGCTGCGGCTGATGGCGCTGCCCGCGACCGTCACCACGTCGCTGTCCTGGAACCCTTCATCGACCGGGTCCAGGGGCGCCATGTCGTGTTCGTGTTCGCGTTCGCGTTGGAGTTCGCGTTCGCCCTGCAGGATCGGCACGTCGGGCGACGGCTCCGTCGGCCAGGACTCGTGCAGGCTGAGCGACGACGACGTTCTGAGGGACGTGTTGAGCGTCGGGCGGCCCGAGCCGCTGGCCGTACCTTGGCTGCTGTACGCAGCACCGGCGCCGCCACCGCCACCACCGCGCATGCTGTTGGTCGCGTACGTCGCGGTCGCGACGTTGGGCGACGACGCCGTCGCCTTGGTGCGCCGCTCCTCGGGGTCCATAATCTTGACAATGGCGTCGCCGCCCGGCAGGCGCACTTCGCCGGCCTCGAGCGTCTCGGCAATGTCGAGCAGCAGCACGTCCATGGGGCACAGGTAGGCGACGCGCTTGCGCGCGCTCCACGCCAGGACGTGCCCGCAGAGGCGGCCGTGCTCGCGCTCGACGATCCATGCGCCGCTGTCGCCGGGGATGCCAATGGGCGAGGGCGAGGGCGAGGGCGTCTGCGCGTGGTTGGCGCTCGACGACGGCCCGCCCGCGGCCGCAATCTGGTACGTGTGCGACGGCGACGTGCGCCCGTAGATCTTGACCGACGTAATGGTCGGCAGGATGCGGCCGGTCTGCAGGCCAGACGTGCGCGCGATGCACTGCACGTCCAGGCCCGGAAGCGCCGACGCGGGCGCCACGGTCGTCGGCCGCAGGATGCCCGAGGACGACACGTCCGACAGGGCGGGCGCGGCCTCGCCGCCGAGAGGCAGGTGCGGAATCGAATTGGCGGGCGGCTGGCGGTCCTCCTTGAATTCAAAGAGGGCCCAGTCAATCTCGTGCACGAGGCCGTGCTCGTCGACGCGGCGGCGCACACCGCTCGACGCATACACGTCCCCGAGGCCGCAGGAATCCAGGTGGTCGTCGTCCTGCGTCGCCTCGTCGGGATAAAAGTTGCCGTCGACATCGTCGAGCGCGGGCTGCGTGACAATGTAGCCCTCACCATAGCCGGGCTCGACGCCGGGCGTGTCGCCAGGCTCGTCCGTCTCGTCGTCTGCCTTGGCAGCGTAGTCGTCGTCGTCGTCGTCGCGTTGGCGGCGGCGGCGTGGGTCGTCATAGTCCTCGTTGTCGCTGTCCGACCACTCGCTCGTAATGTCGGACTCGGACACGGCCGAGCTCGTGTCGCTAAATTCGCAGGCATAGTCGTCGTCGTCTTCGTCGTCGTCGTCGACGTCGAAGTCGCTGCCGCCGCTCGAGTGGGCAGCGCCGGAGCTGCTGCCCTTTTGCATATCGGCGTACCAGTCCAAAACAGACTGGCCGAGTTCTTCAATCTGCTCATCCTCGCCCTCGCCGGCCGCGTTGGCAGTCGTCGCGGCGGCAGCGGCGGGTGTGACCGCAGCACCACCACTGCTGCGCAGGGCCTTTTGGCCTTCACGGGCCGCCGCCTCCTCCGACGCGTCCGGGTCGTCCAGCATGTGGTGCACAGTCATGCCGAACGGCTTGTCGTCGACAAGGACCAGACCGCCAAAGCTGACGGGCGGCAGGTGCCGGTCGCCGATCCAGGCGCCAATGCTGGCGCCGTTCTCGGGCTTCTGCTGGAACTGGGTGTTGGCCGCCGAGGCGCTGCCGTACTGAAAGTCGGCGCCGCTACGCTTCACGACATCGCTGTCGGCGCCCGCGCCACGAGGACCACTGCCGCTGGTCGCGTCCTTGCGCGACCGCATCACGCGGCCGGTGCACACCTTGAGGCCGACGCTGTTGGTGCCCTCAAACACGTTGGCCATCTTGCGCTTCAGGATGCTGCGCACCTTGGACACAGACGTGCAGACGACGACGACGGTGGGGCGGGTGTTGCGCGGCGAGTCGCCGACGGACTCCAGAGAAATCTCGACGGATTCGGGGTGGCTGCGGTAAAAGTGGCGCAGGACGTAGTTGATCTGCGGCATAAGGTACGTGTGCCACTTCTCGACGACATCCGCAGGCAGAGCAACCTGAGGATACAGCCGCATGCGCTTCTTCTCAGCAGGAGCAGATGCAGGTGCAGATGGCTGCGTGGCCACATGGCCCGCATGCGACATGTGCGACATGGCGCCGGGTGCTGCAGACCCGGCGGTCGCAGCAGACGGGTGCCGCGGCAGTGCAAAGCCCAGCGGGCTCGTAGTGGCACCACCGGAGCCGCTCGTCTTGGGTGGCACGGGCGGCGGCTTCGCGTCGCTAAACGACTCGTCAGGGAGGCGGTCCCGCGGCGGCATGGAAAGAAGGCTGCGATGGGTGCGCATGGCGGGCGGCTGCGACGGCGTCGTGAGCGGCGCCGGGTGCGGCGAAGACATCTTGGGTGGCGGCATCGGCGGCGCCGAGTGCGAGTGGACGAGCGTGGGTGGCGTGAACGGCGTCTGCGCCGGCGTCGGCATCGGCGTGGTCGAGGAGCTCGTCGCAGACTTGGCGACGGAGGACGAGACAAGGTCGTCGTCGCCGCCCAAATCGTTGCGCAGGCGCTCCTCGAGCTTGGCCACGTCGTCGAGGACGCAGCAGGCCTCAAGGTAGCTGCTGGCGCGCACCTGCAAGCGGGCCAGGTGGGACTCGCCGGCGGCCTTGCCGGCCGAGACGACGAGCTCCATGGCCGTCCAGCAGGTCTGCACGGCCTTCATGTAGAGCGTGCCGCACTGCGTGGACAGCTGGTCGAGCACGGCCTCGGACACCATGGCAGAGTCCTGGTGAGGCACGAGGTTCTCGAGGCGCGTCCACATGCCAATGGACAGCAGAAGCATGGCCAGCGAGTACAGGTCGAACACGCGCGGGTCGGCGTCGACAATAGGCGGCGCGCCCGGCGCAAAGGAAATGGGGTTCAGCGGGTGCTGGTGCAGGCGCGAGCTGCGGCGCTTAATGTCGCTGCGGCTCGCGGGGTTGGGCGTATCGGGAAACAAGTCGAAGGAGGACACCACAGGTCTGCGGATGTCGACCTGGGACACGTCGGAGGAGGGCAGGCCGGCGTCGGGGTTGGTGACACGGCCAAAGAGGATGCTCGAGTCGACCAGGTTGCCGTGTGCAATGCCCTTAGCGTGCAGCTCAAAGACGGCGTTGGCCAGGTTGGCGGCGAGGCGGAACTTGGCCTCGAGTTTCGGCTCGACGCCGGGGCTGCCGAGCAGGTCGCCGAGCGAGTAGAGGCACGATCGCAGCATGGCAGGCGACTGCGAGGCGGTCGGGGGCGAGGCGATGGCGTGGAAGCCGGGCGGGAACTGGTAGACCAGGCCCAAGCGCGAGTGGTCCATGTCCTCAAAATAGCCCAGCAGGCGCGGGTTGCCGCTGACGTGGCTGGCCTCGCCCTGCAGGCCGGCGGACAGCTTCTCGAAGCGGGCCATGGAGGGCATGATGCCGGTGGACGAGTAGACGGGGTCGAAGTAGGCGTATTCGAGCAGCAGGGGCGCGTAGGATTGGCCGACGGGGCGGCTGACGAGGTCGGCGTACGCCTGCTTGTTCATGAAGACAACCTCGCGGGCCTTGGGGTCCTCGGGCGGGCGGGTGCCGGACTCGATGCTGGTCAGCATGGCCGAGTCGATCTGCTGGGGCACGAGCATGCGCGACGACTCAAACAGCTTGGCCTCGTCGCTCGTCAGTTGCTGCATCATCGTCGAGGGCGACTGGCCCTGCTGCTGCAGGTGGCGCTTCAGGGCCTGCTGCATGGAGAGCTGCTTGGGTGACGAGGGGGACCAGGACGCCGACGTGACGAGTGCCAGCTTGTTGCCCGGGGTCCCCAGAATGGGAGCGTTGTTGCTGCTGTTGTTGTTGCTGTTGTTGATGTTGCCGCTGACTGGGCTGTGATGCGTGGGAACGCTGCCTGGGCCGCCAGGGTGCTTGACATCACTCCCGGGGCCGCTGCCACCGCCACCGCCACCACCACCCGTGGCCGCCGACGACCGCGTGCGAGACAAGTCATAGAGAGTGTCAATCGACACGGTCAGGTCGCGCACCAGGTCGGCAAAGCGTGCCTTGTCCCAGGTGACAATGGGCAGCTTGCGGTCGCGGTCGGCGGACAGCTCGGCGGCCTTGCTGTCGCCGCTGCCCACGTTTCCACCGCTTCCGGCACCCCCGCTGCCCACCAGACGCTTGGAGCTCAGCCACAGCGGCTCGACCTCGGCAAGGGTCTCCTTGATCGTCGACATGATGCTGCTGACGACTTCACTCAGGCCGGCGCGCGACAGCGACGAGTCGATCAGGACCTCGGACGACTGGCTGGGGTCGGACCATTCGAGGCCCCAGCTGACGAGGCGGTCTTTCTGGATGCGCAGCTTGCGGTGGAGGGCCTTGATCTCGGGGTCCTCGGCATTCTGGACGGGCTCCTTGACGAAATCGGACGACTTCTTGGTGTCGTTGTAGAGTCGGCTCAGCCGGCGCTGGAACGGCAGCTGCAGGCCGGGGAGTGGAAAGTAGGAATCCATGATGGATGCAGAGGGACGAGAGAGGGGCGACAGCCAACAAAGGGCCCTCGCGGGGAATCGAGAGGGGCCTGCTGGATGTCGATCGATGTCGTGACAATCGTGAAAATGCAATGTCGGATTATTCGGGCAGCTGCGCACAGGGACGCGTTCGTTTTATGCGCTCGACGTCGACACGAGTAATCGATGTTCGTCTAGATGTCGTCGACGCAAAGAATGGCGATGTTTGTGTTGAGAGAGGATGCAAGATGCAGACGAGCGAATCTGGCGATGCAAAGGATAATGAAGGTGGTAGTACGACGCCCGCCTAACAGGTGTGGGCAGGCAGCGAGTTAAGCCCCCTGTAGCGCGGGATTTAGTGGAAGGAGGCCTGAACGGGAGGTGCCTGAAGTCACCTGACGCGGTCCCTGCAGCAAATCGGCCCTCTTCTTACAGCATCAACAAGCACAACACCACTCGACCAACAGCACCACAGGCGCGTCAGTGCGATCCTCGAGTCCAGAATTTATTCGGCTGCCTTGTCTGCATCGCCTGTGGTGGAACCGTGGTTGATGACTTTGTTGTCGATGGCACCTTTGTTCTAAGAAAAGCTGCTGCCTTGCACCAAGAATAGGAATGCGCTAGTCCCGTTAGGGCCGCACATTGCCACACCGTCGTCGACACGGTATCTACATCGTGTTTACACTGTTTTCGCACTTTTAAGTGGGTCTGTCAGGATCGCCTATATGCATATTGTCTGATACCGCTCTAGGCAAACTTCTTACTTGGTGTGCTATTGCGGCCTCGAATCCGTCTCCGTGCCCCTTCTGGCACAACAACTTGGCCCATATTGCTATCTCTACTCGGCTAACACGACAGCCAACACAACTGCACGAATAGCCGTATAAAGGGGTCCCTCAATTTGCGGTGTTGTGCTGTTTCGAGCACCAGGGGTGCATCCCTCCTTTTCTAAATTGATCACGGCTGGTGAGGCAGACAGCGCCTGGCAGGAACAGCCGAGCATGCGCATATATACAGGGGGACCTCAGAACAAACTCGAGTCGTTGAATACCGTCAAAATATAGTGCTATACGGAGGAGGCATTTCGTGCAGCCAGTCGCGTGGCTCTTCTCGGGCAGTCCGTGCGGCAGGTGACACGTCCTCTGCTCTTTCCGTTCCTACGCTTCACATTCGCGCAATCATGTTCCTTCCCCGACTTGGTGTTGATAAAGTAGTAGCCAACAGGCCGCTGTGTATGAGTTGGGCTTTGTATCGTGGGCCCTGCAAAGACCGGAAGACCCCATTTGCCTCACTCTCGTCTCCTATGAACCACGCGGCATCCCCATCAGTCGCTGTGCCGAACATCCATGTGAGATCGTGAGAAAGACGGCAGACGATGCGCCGCTGGGAGAGCGAAATTAATTGATGTCGCCCTTGACCTCGCCCACCGTCTCATTCGTCTTAATTAACTACAGGAACCCCTATTCGGTTTTCCGCCTGTTCGTCTTCCGACTTCCGTTGTCCGCCCTGCGGTAGTCACCTATCCCAGAGGATGCCTCTGCCTGGGCAGGGTTCCTGACGTATTGTTCTGAATTGCTTCGCTATGTACTTTGTCAGGGCTTCCCCCCAGTCGGTGGTCCCTGAGATTAATTATCGCTTTGTCCTGACTGTCGATATTTAGCCTGTTGCGCCATCTTCATCCTCTTGGCTTCTGTTCTGCCCCACGATGATTTCACTATGTCTTGGCTTCCATTGTTGTATTGGTTGACAAAAGGACCCTGCTGGAATCTATCCCTTGGAATCCCATGCCCAGACTGAAATAACATCCCTTTCCCATCCACCTTTGCCAAAACCCTAACCCTCGACCTTTCCAAGCCTTGGTCGCCGCACGAGGTTCAACATGGGACCGCACACCTGGTCATTGAGGTGTCGCAAAACAAGAGTATAAACATCATAAACATCACGTCCACTCAACTTGCCACGATGGCGTTTCAGCCACATGGACGACGGCAGCAGCCTGGCATGGAAGCCATCATCGAGACGGTGTCCGACCGGGCATCCATTGCGGCAGTGGACGCCGTCGCCCCCGAAACGGAACACGAGCCAAAGTCGGCACGACATGATAGATCCTCCGGCAGCGAGCCACCCTTACTGTCACCATCACAGCAGCAACACTGTCAAACGTCACATGCATCAGCCTTGAGCCGGAAAGCTGAGCGACGGCTTGTCTGGAAGCTCGACCTCTGCATCCTACCCATCTTCCTGGTTGTCTTTCTGATTTCGACGCTCGACCGCATCAGCATGAGCAATGCAAAGGTCATGGGCCTCATGGGGGACCTCTCACTCACAGTACAACAGTACAACATTGCTTATTATGTGTGTCTACCGGGTTCCCCATGTACAGGACGAAAAGTGAAGGAACGGCCACTAACACACTGACACGCCCTTCGTGCAGATCTGTTTTGCGACACTCGTCATCTTCGGGGTCCCCAGCAGCCTCCTTCTCTGCAGAAGCCGGCGTCCGTCCTGGTACCTCGGCGCCATGACGGTTTGCTGGGGCGTCGCCAACTTGTGCGCCGGTTTCGTCCAAACGTACCACGGGCTCGTCGCTGTGCGGTTTGTGCTCGGCATTTTCGAGGCCGGCCTCCAGCCAGGCGTGATTTATGTCACGTCCCTGTACTACACACGCCACGAGTACCAGACGCGCCTGAGCCTTCTCTTCTGCGGCCACGTTGCTGCGTCCGCCTTTGGTCCGCTCATGGCCTACGCCATCGGCAAGGGCATCGCAGGCGCCCAGACCGTCAGCCCCAAAAACAGCACCACCGACGTCGTGAGCAGCATTGCACCCAACGGCTTCAAGGGATGGCGTTGGGTTTTTATTGTCGAGGGTTCGGTGACGGCTGCCATCGGCCTGGTAGCCTGCTTCCTTGTCGTCGACGAGCCCGACCGCTGCCGCTACCTCTCGGCCGAAGAACGGCGTCGCGTCCAGCAGCGCGTGGCCGAAGACCGTGGTGGCGGGGCAGGGGTCGGGTCTGGGTCTGCTGTTGACACGTTTGCCATGGACCGCCTCGACCGCCGTGCTGTCCTGCACTCCCTCGCCGACTACAAGATCTGGCTCGGCGCCCTCGTCGCCGTCGGCACGGGCACCACGGCCTACAGCACGCCCATGTTCATGCCCAGCATCCTGCACGACTTTGGCTACAAGGCGCGCGACGTCAAGATCCACACCCTGCCCGTCTACGCCGTCGCCGCCGTCTTCATGGTCGCCGTGTCCTGGCTCGCCGACCGCCTGCGCCTGCGCTACGCCCTCATCATGGCCGCCACCATTGTCGCCACCATTGGCTACTGCATGCTGCTCGACGAGACGTGGATGAACCGCGAGGCCAAGTACGGCGCCTCGTTCCTGATTAGCATCGGCGGCTATGCGGCGCTGCCGCTGGCCTATGGCTGGCTCGTCGAGAACCTGGCCGGCCGCTGGAAACGCGCGTTCGGTGTCGGCGTCCAGAGCGCGCTGGGCAACATGGCAGGCGTCGTGGCGTCCACCATCTACCGGCGAGAAGAAAGCCCGACGTATGTGACAGGCTACGGCGTGGCACTCGGGTTCTTGTGGATCGGTGCCGCCGCGGCAACGGCTCTGGCGTATCTCATGTGGGTGGAGAACCGGCGACGACAACTCGGTCAGCGGGCGTACCGGCTGGAACGGCGGCCCGGCTGGAACGGCGGCCCGAGGATGTGGCGAACCTGGGCGACGACCATCCCGGGTTCCGGTATAACATATAAGAGTTTGTGGTGGCTGCCATGCAGAGTAGCTTGTATATATCCTATATTTAAATAAGTGTTATTTAAATCCGATCTTGTCGTGTATAAAGTATAAATTCAATTCTCGTCACATTTCGCCTCATGTATCGGCAGCTTTCTTTCTTTTTCTTCTTCTTTATTTTGAATCTTTGAATGTAAAGGACAAAAAAGTTGGCAAATAAAATGCCAGAAACAAGTACAACCTTGTCCATTCTATCATTCAAAGCGACTTCGGCTCCGCCGGTTGAGGCCCGGGACATCCCTCGCTCGTTCCTCGTCGATTTTCTCGCTCGCCGTTTCGGCACGGCTCCCACCATTGTCATTTCGCGAGCAGCACATGTTAATATCATGCGATGCCACCATACAAATGAGTCAATACGACATATTTCGGCTCGACTGGTTCGCTCTTGCCATGTGAGCTGCCGCCATGAGAGCCACAAGCACATGCGGCCCCGTTATCGTTAGTGCGCCCTTGCACTGCTGGATGGTGTCATTGGGCGTGTGCTATCGCGGGTATGTTAGCGCAACTGCCTTGACTGGGTTGCGTCAGTGAGATGTGCCTTCCTTCGCATCAACGGCAACGGCAAGAAAGCCGATCCGGCTGCTTTTGGAAAGAATATCCTCTCTGCTTTCCCCCGCTGTCTTCCGAGTCACTCGACCCTTTTCCCTTTTCCCTTTTCCATATATTTCCACAGCTTCAAAGGTCATCGTTTCCAGTCATCGTGATCTTCTAGAACATCACTTGAACAGCAATCGACATCGCCCCGTCTCCGAACGCCAACACCATCAATCAACATGACGAAGCTCACGCTGTACGGTTACTACAGGTCGTCGTGCACCACGCGGCTGCGGATCGCACTGGCGCTCAAAAAGATTGAGCACACGACTGTCTTTGTCGACTTTTTCAACAAGGAGCACCGCGGCGCCGCGTACACGGCCATCAACCCGAACCAGTCGCTGCCGACGCTGGCAGCCGAGATCGAGGGATCCGGATCCGGCGGCGGCACGCCCGTCTACATTACGCAGTCGGTGGCCGCTCTCGAGTTTCTCGAGGAAGCCTTCCCGGACAATGCCGTGCCGCTGCTGCCCAAGAACCCGGCCGACCGCGCACGCGTGCGCAGCCTCGTCGAGATTGTTGTGGCGGATCTGCAGCCGCGGCAAGCGAATCACACGCTCGAGAAGCTGGGCAGCGACCTGGGTGCCGACGGCGACCAGAAGACCAAGTGGGCGTACGACTGGAGCGTCAGAGAGCTGCGGGCGTACGAGACGCTTGTGACGGCGGGGGGCGCGAACGGTGGGCCGTCTGGCAAATACTCGGTGGGTGACACAGTGACGCTGGCGGACGTGTGTCTGGTGCCGGCGATCCAGAACGCGGTGGAACGATGGGGCGTGGACCTGGAGAAGGAATTCCCGGTGCTGGCGACCATCTTTGGCAACTTGACGGCGCTGCCGGAGGTGCAGGGCGCGCACTGGAGCAAGCAGCCGGACGCACCCAAGGATGCGTAACCGATGCGCTGGCAGATGGGTGGCCCTCGAGGCTTTGCATTTCCATACGCGCGAGGCGGAACACTGGTGGCCACATGGCAAATATCACAAAGACGAACTCAGTATGAAGAAATTGACGTCATATTCAAACTGTTGCGGTACATTCTATTCTACCCCTTTTCGTCGCCGACTAAAACTCCCGGCCGTGGAAGAGCTCGCCCTTGCCGTGGCTCTTGGCAAAGTGGTACAGGTCCGACTGCCAGGCCTTGGCGGCAGCCTTGACAGCGTCGAACCCGGACACCGAGGCCTCCACGGCCTGCAAGTCGGCCTCGCGCGCACCCGCATCGGTCGAGAACTCGTGAATGGCCAGCCATGTCGGTCGCGTGGGCGGCGACGCGCCCGTCGACGATAGGCCCTTGAAGCGACGCGACTGGTCGTTGGACCGCGCGTACTTGAGCTCGTAGCGGGTCGTGCGCAGGTAGCCCGGCAGCCCGGCGGCCAGGGCGGGCAGGTAGGCCGTCTTGTACCACGCTTGGAGGCCGGCGGCATCCGACGTCTCGATCTGCTCGGCCACCAGCGACTTGGCCAGTCCCTTGCCTTTGGTGCCGTTGGTGTCTTTGGCCGTCGGGTCGGCGACCTGGACAATGTTGTAGTAGCCGACGTCAAAGGAGGCCAGATCGTAGCACAGCTTGGAGCCGGGCAGCAAGTCGCTGGTGACGCGGATGGCCTTGAACTCGTCGGTGCGCAGAAAGGCAATGTCCTCGAGCGGGTAGATGGACAGGTAGGGCAACGGGGCTGTGGCGAGCTGGTCGTGCTTCCAGCGGATGGCCGAGTCGACGCCGGTGGTCTCGATGACCTCGACAATGTGGTCGGTGTCGTACCAGTGCATGAAGACGTCCTCGGTCATGATATCGGGCCGGGTGATGCGCGACTGCACAAAGAGCAGGCCGGGGCCCTTGATGTCGCCGGTATCCATGGGGGGGCTGTTTTGAGCGCTGTATGGTGTGTGTATGTCGTGTCACATGAGATGGTCAAGGTGGTGATGTAACGAGCTGTCAAGTCGAGGTGTCAACCTCTTCCCCAACCTATGGACATTGCGAACACGCCAAGGATACTTATATCGTATCTACATTTCCTATTTACTTGCGCCGATCAAGAGAGTCGGACAACCGAAGAGGGCCAAAGAAGGGGAAGCGCGACGCCAATAAACGAACCCCCTCGCTCGACGGAAATGCATCTCCATGAAAGCCACCAAAACCCTTCAGAGCTGACCTTCCAAGCAGCTAGCACCAGCCTGCCCCAGAACGCCCCAGCGCCATCCCCGCTTTCTTCTCTCGTGCGCGCTTGTGGTCGGGGATAGCTTTACGCGGTTGGGAGTGCCTTTGGCGGTTTCTGATGATTTCTCCTGGTATGTCTCCTGGCCTTCGCCTGCCATCCATTAAACGAGTCAGGAAGATCCGCCCGGAAACACCAACAACGTCTAGCCTTCTGCCTTTCGAGATCAGACCAGCGTCCTGCCCTCCCCGGAGTGTCTTATCCAGAGTTCCCGACCATCTGTTGCAGTTGTTGCATGTAGACTCGTGGGAAGCACTCAAAAGACTGTTTGTCGTGCTCGAGGAAAGAAACCAACGCCAGGATTGCTGACATCATACACAGTTTCAGGAACGAGGTAAGCGAAGCTAAGCGAAAAATACGGGAGATTGTAGGGAAATGCAAAAGAAAATATAAATAAACGAGGGATTATTTACGTTGGTCGCTCCCATTCACCTCTCACAAAGCATCAACCACTTCTTACCTCCTCTCTCTCGACATGCCTCTTCCTCTCCAAGGCCCGGCGCCGTCTGGTGCCGGCAAGTACGTCAAAATCACCATGTTCATCAAGAAGCTGCCCGACGTCTCCCAAGAGTACTTTTCCGCCTACTGGGCCAACAACCACGTCGCGCCGGCCCTGCGCAGCAAGACGTTCCGCGAAAAGGTCCGTCGCTACAACCAGCAGCACATCACGGCCGAGAACCGCAAACAGGCGGCCACTTTTGGGCTGCCCGTGCTCGACTACGACGGCGTGGCCGAGTTCTGGGTCGACAGCCTAGACGACTGGATCAGCGTCGCAACGGACCCGGACCTGGCGGCGGCCGCCGACGGCGACGACAAGAATTTCATGGTGCAGCCGGTACACGTCATGGTCAGCTTCGACCACTTGGTTCTGGGCGGTGACGAGTGGAAGCCGCACGACGAGGTGGATTCCAGATTGTAGGCCATTGGAGGGAGGCTTGTATCCCGTCCTGTCTGTCTATAGCGTACATAATATCGACTTAATTTTGTGTCCTGAGCTCTCATGTCGGTCATATCTCTCTCATGACGTCGCCCACAACACGCGCCGCCATGGCGCGCCGCTGCGCCGGCGTGAGCAGTTCCGACTGCAGTCGTGCTGCCTGCAACCGCTGTATCATGCTCTCCATAATGGCCGCCTGGTCCTTGTCTTCTTCGTCGTCGTCGTCCAGCTCCGCCGTTTGTTGTTGCCAGATGGCCTGCCGCAGCCCTGCAAAGTCGTCGCGGTCGAAGCCGAAATCGACGCTCTCCGGGTCGTCAAAGTTGATCTCGTCGTCCGACTCTGTACCGGGCAGTCGGACGTCCTGAAACGAACCAAACAGGTCGTTCTCGTCGCCCTCGCCATCGCCGACCAGTTCCCAGTCGTTGGCCTCGAGCGCCTCGAGTAGTCTCGGGATGCCGGTTTTTTCTACATTGTCAGTGCCAATTGTAGACGAAAAAAAATGGGGAAAAAAGGGGGGGAAGAAGGAAAAAGGACCTACCACCAAACTCGTTGGTCGCCTCTTGGCCCGGGGCCACGGCAACAAACTCCAACCCGGCTACCAGACATGCGTCGTCCCACACCTCCATTGTCTCCTCGTCGATGGGCGTCTGTGACACGCCCACCACGATGCCGACACCTTCAAAGTCCGCCAACATCTCTTCTTGATCTTCGTCTTCCTCTTGCAAGCCCACGTCCACGACGGGCCCAAGACGTTGCACGAGCCTTGCGACGTGCTTGACGAGGTCGCGCTGCCGTGCAAAGGCCGACGTCTGCTGCACGTCGACCACCACCACCACGCCGCCCAGGGCCTCCCGCACTTCGCGCGCCTCGTCGGCCAGGAACGCATCAGCCCATTGTTCCGGTGTCGACGGGTCTTCGGTGGTGTCGTCTTTCGAGGCGGTTTTGGCGTTGTCCCTGGAGGGAGAATCTTCGTCTGTCTTCGTCGGGCCGTCCTCTGGCTCCTTCGGCGCGTCGTTCGTCTCGTCAGGTTTTCCTTCTTCCTCCTTTGGCTCGTCCTTTGCGCTCTCTGCCTCTGCCTCTGCCTCTGCCTCCGCCGGTGTCTGCCCAATGAGGTCCAGCCAGATGGGCACCTGCGCGTTGTAGTACGCCGTCTGTATCGCCAGCTCCTGTGTCGTGCCCGCCAAGGCGCCTGTGCCGGCCGATGCCGCGGGATATTCGCCGGTGAGGTCTAAACAATGAACTGTAAGAATCACTCTGCTATCAACAGCCCTGTTTGTTCATCACGACCTACCTTTGATGACTCGCGCGAGATGCTCCTGAGACTCCGCCAGTGCCACCGCCAGAATGCGGCGCGGGTTGCTAATTTCCGTCGGCGCCATTGTGATACGCTGTGGATGTCGAAAGAGCCAATACTACTGTCCGTGTTGTAGAGTGATGCCGATGATATCGAAGAAAGTGTTCTCCGCGGACGGATAGGTGGCGGCAGAGGAAGGTGCGGCAGAAAGGATGGGCGGTGACGTCGCGCTATTGGCTGTGCCGCCAATCTCAGCGCAGCTTCCTAAACTACGTAATGGTGCTACCAACGCCTCGGACTCTTCAGCACTCTGACAACACCCCAGCTTCTGTTTTCATGGCTCAAAGGGAGCTTCTCAAATATAAGAAAATTCAAGAAAAAAATAAGCTCTCGTAAGATTTCTTGTTTCCCAAATTAAACATCCAGATAATGGAAGCCTAGGCGAACACAATCTGTTTGGTAACGGCAGCTTTGTGTTAGTGCTTTTGGTGGATCGCAACTTCCCCCTCCTTACCCATTGCTCGCTGTTTTTTGCTCTGCGGTTCTAGCCGCTTCGATGGGCAGTGGCGACCGAGACCGTCACCAAAACCGTCCCCACCAAAATCCGTGTCCTGTTGAGCTTCACTTTCACGACTGTGATCCTCCATCCACAGCTCAATACGACGACAGACGCGCTGTACAAGTTTTCTTCGGCAGCTTAGAGCTTCAAATCCCTCCTTCCGACACGTCCACCACCTTGTACCCGTCAGCAACCCCCCACATCTCCCAAAATGGCGGCCGTGGTCAACCTCGACGACGACGACGTCATGGAGCCTACGCTCCAGTCCATCCTCGACCAGCGCTCCCTCCGCTGGATCTTTGTCGGCGGCAAGGGCGGTGTCGGCAAGACCACCACCTCGTGCTCCCTCGCCATCCAGCTCGCCAAGGTCCGCCGCAGCGTCCTGCTCATCTCCACGGACCCCGCACACAACCTGTCCGACGCCTTTGCGCAAAAGTTTGGCAAGGACGCCCGCCTGATTGACGGCTTCACCAACCTCAGCGCCATGGAGATTGACCCGAGCGCGGGTCTGCAGGACATGCTGGCTGGCATGAACGAGGATGGCAGTGGCGGCGGCGGCGGCGGCGGCGCGGCGGCCGGCATGAACTCCATGGTCCAGGACCTGGCCCTGTCCATCCCCGGCATCGACGAGGCCATGTCCTTTGCCGAGGTCCTGAAGCAGGTCAAGTCGCTGTCGTACGAGACCATTGTCTTTGACACCGCCCCCACGGGCCACACGCTGCGCTTCCTGCAGTTCCCCACCGTCCTCGAAAAGGCCCTGGCCAAGATCAGCCAGCTGTCCGAGCAGTATGGGCCCCTCCTCAACGGCCTCATGGGCGCCGGCGGCGCCGGCGCCGGCGCCCTGCCCAACGGCCAGAGCCTCTCGGGCATGATTGCCCAGCTCGAGTCGCTGCGCCAGACCATTTCCGAAGTCAACACCCAGTTCAAGGACGACGCGCTCACCACGTTTGTCTGCGTGTGCATCCCCGAGTTCTTGTCGCTCTACGAGACCGAGCGCATGATCCAGGAGCTCGCCAGCTACCAGATCGACACCCACTGCATCGTCGTCAACCAGCTGCTCTACCCCCGCAAAGGGTCGGCCTGCGAGCAGTGCGGCGCGCGCCGGCGCATGCAGAAAAAGTACCTCGACCAGATCGAGGAGCTATACGACGACTTCAACGTGGTCAAGATGCCGCTGCTCGTCGAGGAGGTGCGCGGCAAGGAGAAGCTGGAAAAGTTTAGCGACATGCTGATCCACCCGTATGCGCCTGCGGACGTTGACGATGGCGATGAGAAGAACTAGGGACAGGATCACGAAGCAGTGGCCGACGTATAGGGGATCATTTGGCAGACTGGAGCATGAGTTATGAGCGTTGAAGTGACAAAATTTTAGATACACCCACAAAACACGGGGAGATCATCAAAACCCCAGTACACAAAAGATAAGAAAAGAGACTGCATTACGTGCTTGCATTTCTCGAGTCGTTTGATTCGCAATCGTTTGCGTCTATGGTGCTAGAAAGATGAGACTTGGTGAAAACATGACAGTATAAAACGACTGTGGCCATCGTTCCCTTACTCGGCTCGTAGATGTGAACAAAAAACAAAGATGAGCAGAAACCAAATGAGTAAATACAATGGCAAGATAGAAACACACGAGTAGCCCGCCCAGTGTAGACATAGTACACGGTATCATCAATCCATCCGAGATGATGTGAAGAAGATGCAGAAGAGGAGTCGTCTAGGAAAAGGCAATACAGATGCAAAGCACAACAGCCGCAAAGGAGATAGCAAAGAAAGCGAAAGGCAAAACTTTGCGGGAAAGAAAAAGCACAGTCTATTTCTTTCTTTCGTCATGCCACCTTTTAACGGCCCTCGACGGTGTGTCGTGCGTCTTGCCGTGTCCGCTTAAGCGACCGCATGACGTACTCATACGTCAGCATCGTCACCGTCGCTGCAGGCACTGCGCGCATCATGTTGGTGCCCATCCCGGCATAGAATGCCCGCCATCCCTCGTCTTGCAGGATCGTCCGAAACGTCGTCACGATGCCCCGGTAGCGCGGCGCATCCTGTGCGCTTGCTGCACCGCCACCGGTCTGTGCGGCCGCCTTGGTGGCCTGCCGTCGTTGCGTCTGGAGCCGTGTCCGGATCACTTCATGCGGGTACGTCAGGCTGCTGGCCAGGACCTTGGACAGGATCGTGGCCGACAAGATGCCCAGCCAGTGCGCGGGCGCCTCGCCCTCGCTCGGCGACTCGCCCATGCCCCGCCCCGTGAACTGGGTCTTGAAGTACTCGTAGGCAGGGAACTGCACTGCGACGTGCGTCAGGCCCAGCAGCGCGGGGGTGAGGCCGGAGTAGAACGACAGCACGCCCTCGGTCGTGTACATTTTGCGCGCGGCGTCGAGCGTCGACCGGTAGTGCCAGGGCGTCGAGATCGTGGGGCGGGAGGTCGGCGTGCCTCCTGTGGCGGGGGCGACGGTGCCCGGCGGGCCGCGCGGCATCTGTGACATGAGCCGCGTCTTGATCACCCAGATCGGGTTCGTCACAATCGTGCTGCTCGCGCCGGCCACGACGGATGACCAAAAGTTGATCACAAAGGTGTTTTCAATGTGGTACCGCTCGCTCATAACGCTCTTGCTCTTGTTGTAAACGGTAAACCACACGGCCCAGGTGGGCAGGTATCCCATGATAATGGGACCCAGGCCGCGGTACAGGCCACGGACACCCTCGTCGCGCCAGATGACCCGTGCGGTGCCGACCAGGCCATTGTATAGTCTGTGGTGGCTCTGGCCGGCTGCTGCTGCTGCTGCCCCCGTGGCACTGGCTTGGCGGTGCATGGCTGCAAATCCGCCCTGCGCCTGCAGTTTCGTCTTGATCACGTCGAGCGGGCACGTAAACACGCCCGACGTAAACCCACCCACGGCGCCGGCCAGAGCATTGAACTGCGATTCCGACGCGCGGAGCGTCCAACGCTGGAAGGGCGTCAGCAGGTGCAAATTGGCTGCGTATGCAGAGGTTGGGTTGCCCGGCGTGTACGACGGGGGTGTCGTGGCAGACGAGGGCAGAGATTCGGAGGTAGGGGATGAGGCGAGTGGTGTCGGGACATTCTCGGCGCGGATGGCGGGAAGCTCGATTGGTAATGACGTGGGTGCGGCGGAGGAGATAACGTGAGAAGCGTCGACATGCGAAGGCAAGAAGCGCTCGGCAAACGGATGCGATGCAGGATGTGTAGTCGACGGGTCAGAGGAAGAAGGAGAATCTGGAGACGCGGGCGCAGCAGTGATCGGTTCCAAGACGGGTGGAACGGTATCGGAGGGAATCGGAGAGGATGAGATCGCCGTCGGCGCGGGTGTCGAAGGCGTTGCGGTGCTCGCTGTCGCACGGGCTGGCCTTACATCTCCATCGCTCGGCTGGGCAGGGGTTCTGGTGCTGTCCAACAAGGCTTGTGAGGTCGGCGGTATTGGCGGCGGCGATGCGGTGAAGCTCGCTGTCGCGGTGCTGCTATTACGGCTGCTATTGCTGCTGCTGTTGGTGTCGTTGTCGCTCCGACCTCCACCGCTCACATTGGCATCATGAATCCTATTCTCCTCGGCAGCACGGCCTCTCGGCACATGCCCCGACATCGGTGCGGTCCAACGGTCGCTTCACAGACCACAGACTCTCCCTTACCACAAAAACAGCACCAAAAATGAGACCTATCCCGGGATACCCGCCACCACCAAAAGCTGCTCCGTCGCCGTCCGTGAAGTCGGGTCGAAGGAGGAAGCGGTGGGAAGGAGCCGATGCGTCCGGCCGCTCTGGACGGCGTGTGTGTTCGTACGTTGCGCGGGTTGTAGCTATTGTTTCAAGCTCTTCTCGCTGTCGGCGATCCCTGCGTTGTGCGTGGAAGCTGTGTTTGTGGCGTTGGGGAACAGGAGCTTCGGGTTCGTGGGTCGAAACAATTGTTACTGCCGGCGGAAACTGATTGGGGCAAAAGAGGGGGAAGCTGAAGGGCTTCTCGTGTGGAGCGGGAAAACAAAAAACCAGAAATAAAATGTACTTGCACCAAAAAATCGCTGGCGGCGCGGGAGATTGCTCTTTGGGGAAGGCGCGATGCGATGAAGCCTTGGAGAATGAAAACAGAGAAAGAGCGCAGTGAAAAGAAGTGGGAAGGAGAGAATGAGCAAAGAACGCCAACCAAGGAAAGAAGTAGTAGGAAGCGAAAGCGGACTAGGAAGCGAGAGGTCCTAGCACTACCACGCGGAAACTAGAGGGTAGTTTTCACGGTGAACGGGCGATGAAAGAAGAATGTTGATCCAACTGCTGCAGCTTGGCCTTGGACTGCCGAGAGAGGATGCAAGTAGTAGAGGAACGAACGGTGAAAATCAGCTGTTGGGCCGGAGCGGCTTCTTCGCCGTGCCTTCCTTGGTTTCTAGTTTCCCGCGCTCGCTCTCTCACGTGGGTCCCGCGGTTGATGACAAAATAAATCGTACAACGTCCAGAAAAGGGAGGCCGAACCTGGCCGCTGACAGTTGCCGTCTGCCGAATACGGGCAAAAGCAACGGAGCGCAAAATGATGCAAGACCGGAGGCCAAAGAAAAAAGACTTGACAAATAAAAATATGCAAACGACAGTCTCCTTCACGGTAATGATGGGAGAATGACACGAGCAGGTAAGCAATCAAAACTGCCTTCGGTTCGAGTCTGCTCCTATGGAGCAGATACAAACGCTCCGTATTACGCTCCGTTTTACTTTACCTGGCCGTCGGACGATGGAGACGGATGAGCGGACAGGACCATTTGACATGTGGACTAGGAAACAGGATGCCTTTCTCGAAATATGAGTACCTAGAAGAAGGCGCTAGTTACCGGGAGAGGCTTTGCGCGACGAGCAAAATAATAGAGGCAGGGCTGACACTCGGCATCTTGGTGGGGTAGGCACAGCATGCCATCATGGGCCCATTTCACAGTCACTTTTGTTTCGTCTAATAAGGCAATATGCGAGGGCAAAACAGCTGTTGTCCGACCTCAATGAGCAATCGCAGCTTACATTCCATGACTATGGAGGTTAAACACCTCTGAGAGATTCACCGAATAGAGATCGTGATGGGGGCTGTATTTATTATGTTGGGTTATGATGACCATTTTATTTTTTATTTATATATATTAAAAAAAAATAACCATTAGATCCATGACTTATTTGCTTTTGAAAAGAAACGATACATTTTTTCAGAGAATACGAGAAAAATACAACTGTAGAATGAAGCGACACGTACGGGGTAGGACGTCCTGCTGTCAGCCTGCAAAGAAGAGCATAACAGTCTCGGTGCTGGTTACGTCATTTTCACGCCGAGGCTCTCAAACTGGGTTCGAGCATTAATATAGACTTCGCCCTTGCATATATGCGATGGCCAGGCTCGTAGGACCGAGCTCCTCAAGGCTACAAATCTCAACAACCTACATAGAAACATACCGAAGAGGAGCACATTGACTTCTTGTCCGTATTCTACGAAGCGACGTCCAAGGTAGCTTGAAAACGTGGGCCAATACCGTACTTACAACTACAGCACTCAAGTACTTCCCTCCGATAAAGTGCAATCTGCTTTACGAACTAGCCAATGTAGCTGTCAAGAATTATATGCCGTAACTGACGATGCATAAAGAGCTATGCGGTTTGCGTATCTGAAATGCTTGCAAGTTAGCAGCGTCAATATGTTCATCGATCCTTTTATTCGCAAACATGATGTCACAATAGTACGAAGCATGTGGTGAAGGTATTGTCCTGTCTTAGCTGGGGACTTGAACTGAATTCAGCTCATTTCAGCGTGCGAATGGGCGGGAGAGACAAACCGATAATGGGCTGGTTGCAACATTGCACACACGTCGTTGTGTTGAAGCGAAGCTTAACGACTTACTTGTGTTCCCTTTGGGACCGAAGAAGACAGTGCTTCACCCCACTGCGATATATTCAGAGGAGCACAAATTCAATCCGTATATGGTCTTCTACCGTGTCAAAACCCAAAGACAACTTTAAAACCACCTGCGATTGTAGCACGGGGCAGGAGCAAGCACGGCCTAGCTCTTCGGCCACGTTGGCGGAGCTGGAGGCGTCGCTCAACTCATTGAGTCCTGTTGCACGGGATTTCGAGGCAAGGAATTCTGATGGCCCTTTCGGAAAGAACAATCGTTGCGTGTGTATGGAAACTCTGCCGAGGCACCTCAACTCGTTCTGTACAACATGCACTGATCGAGGGCCTGAACCGATGCGGATTTCAAATGATGACCGTGTCTGTTGGATTGAGGCTTCTTGCGATTGCCTACGGTGTAGAAAATAGGTAAATAGGTAGGGAAACTTGCGATCTATTTATCGTTTCTCAACTTCTAGCTCTCCAAGAAAGGCAAAAATCCTTCTTGCAAAGTCATGCATACGTGTATATGTAGAGGACGACAGGGCTAGAGCTGTCACTGGGGCGGACCGGTCGCCAACGATCGGTGTGGGCCGAATTTTTGAAACGCTGCTTTTCCCCTATTCAGCAGGGACGTGCACGCCGTGCTCCGCCGCGCAAAACTGAAACACAGACCTTGGCCTATTCAGGCCTTTCCCCCTTCTCTTCAACAAGGATTCAGGAAGTGACGCCCAAAAAAGAGGGGGATGTGGTATTGAAAGAGGGGCAGTATCGCCATCCTGGCCGTTAAAGAAGAACCGTTTCCGTTTCTAAGCCCCTGGGCAATAATACTGCCGCTTAAGACTTCTTCAGGACATTGTTGCTTTGAATTGTTCGATGTGTTTTCGATCCTGGTGGTCGATCTGCCAGGAAGGTGGCATCTAGAAGGCAGAAAGAAAGGACGGCGAGATCGAGAAACGAGATGGTAATTCGCCGGCAAAAGGAGCCGGAGGGCAGCTTGTCAAGGAGCCTTGCAAAGCAGTCGCGCACGTCGCCTCTTCTCTTTTGCCAAAATGAGGCCGAGACCGTGCCAAATCGCGCAGTCCGATATGCAGTTGCCTGGCCTGATGGATCTGCCTTATGACAGACCGTCTGGCCGTCTCTGCTTGGGGCGTGATGTATCTTTGCCGTCGCCGAGCATTTAGCAGAGGGCGATCGATTTTGCTTTCCTTGTGCTGTCTGCATGTGGCCGGCTCTCGCGAAGGAATGAGAGGTTGTCATGTAAACAAAGCCGCTCTGGCTAGTGTCCTTGTATGGGCTGAGCTTATGCAGGCACCACATGCATGTACATGCCTGCTCTTATTGCACAGAATCCACACCCATGCATGTTTCGTCGACTAGAAGAAGAGAGAAGGTAGGGGAAAAAGACGCGACTCAGCGAGGCAAAAACACGTCTGGAAGGATGACACGTCCCAAGGATACAAAATACTTTGAAAAGGGCAAGTGCGAGGCGCCGATTTAAAGGGGCAGGGGCTCTTTCCCTTGACATGACCCCTCCTTCCCTTCACAGTAGCCTGGCCTGTAACAACAAACGGCCAACAAAACAAACACAGGGCAGCCTCCGCACCTTCCTCCGTATTATTGTTTATCACGGAGACTCACAGACGAGACCACATACCCCCTTGCTTAGCGCACACGCAGCTGTTGCCAGTCTTGGCCCCGTCCTTCCTTCATATTTTCCTCTTTTGTCTCTTTCTCTGCTTTTCTTTCCTTCCATTCTTCCTTTTCCTACAACTCGTTGCATTTTGTTTTCGTCCCCTTGTTCCTTCCTGATTAATCCCTTGTCTGCCGTTCAAACTTCGGACCTTCCACAATAAAAACTACGAGACGAGTCCTGCCTCGTTGTTTCCTTGTTTTCTTGAACCTCGCTCACTACTTATGAATCCCGATTGCTGTCGCATTTTGACATCTTCGACCTCTACTAGAGTTTTCCCTCTCAGCTACCTCACTCTCACAAGCCGCTCCAAATTCGCTCACCTACGCGTGTCTTCTTCACCATGGCTCTCCAAACTGTGTACCAGCAGTTCCTGGGTGCCCCGAACTCGGCCAACCTGACAGCCGACGCGTCCTTGTACTACATAACCACATCCACCTCTATCCACGGCAGCACCGAGATCATCAAGCACTTTGCCACTCTGCGCAAGCAGCTCAAGAAGAACAAGGAGGCCGTTCTGAGCTCCGTGGAGTCGGCAAACGGTCTGGCCCTCGAGATCGACACTGCTCTGGAGTTCATCACCGGTGGTGGACCTTATCTGCCACGACTCGACGACAACTTCTTGTCTGACCGCAAGGTGTATTTGCCAGTTGTACGTGACCAGAAAAACCCGCGGCTACATGCTTTTCGCCAACCCCTCCCTCTGGAATCCTTGAATGTGCCTACAGGCTCGTCCGCCTGCATGATGCATCTGAAATGCTAACCGGAGATTTTTGCTTGTCTCGTGCGATAGACCCACTTTGTTTCGTTCGATGCTCAAGGCAAGATTTCACAAATCCGCCAGTCCTGGGACCAGGGCGCACTGCTGAAGCAGATTGATGTGATTGGCAAGTCCGGACGCAACTGGCCCATCAGCGATGGCACCGAGCAGGTTAAGACGATCGCCTCGGCTATCGCTGCCAACAGCGGCAGCCAAGAGAGCGCGGCCGCGGCTGGCGCCAATACCGATCTGCCTGTTCGGCCACGCGGAAACTCTGCTCTTCGTGATCCTCACGCCTCCTTGGAGCTCTTCGCGTCGCGGGAACAGATGGAGACGCTGCCTGCTGCCGTCGTATCGCCTTACGCGGGTGTGCGCCCTAAGCAGCGCGACGTGACTGACATTCTCAACGACAACCCACCAGACGAGGAGACTGCCGCTAATGCCGTTGTGTCTCCCTACGCTGGCCGCCGCCCGCACCAGCGGTCTTTTGCGGATATTCTAGGCGACGAGGATGGCGACGAGGAAGAGGGCGATCCTGCTGGCGATTCGCCAAGCAGAGGACGTAGCGTTGGGAGCCGCGCGCGGTCGCAGTCACCAACAAAGGCGATCGCGCCCAAGGCCGGCTCGAGCAAGAACTACCAGCCCGTGCGACTGTTTGAGGCCGACGAGGCTGCCGCTGCTGCTATCGATGCCAACTCCCCCGAGGGTCAGCGCTTCTACCGGCCCAACCCCAAGCGCTACAACCACTTCGATTTCGCCGACGGTTCTGACCCGCAGGATGCTCCCAAGGCCGGCACGGCTTTCGACGCGCTCCCTAGAACGAAGCACAACAGCCAGTGGTCCTTTGAGGATTTCGCGACGCCGCAGAAGCCGCCTTCCCGGGTGACACGTGGCCAGGAAGTGCGCCACTTTGGTATCGAGAACGACGACTTCCCCGAGACGCCCTCGGCTGCCTCTCGGAAACCTGCGCAGCTGAAGCCCCGCCGCGACGCCGAGACACACTTTGAATTCCAGGATGATGGTGAACCGTCTGGCGCGCCCCGGGCGGCTGGTAAGCCGCGTGGCGCAGGTCAAAACGACGGCCTGGGTCTGTACAAGAACAACCTCTACAAGGAGGACGGAACGGCACCAACACCTGCCCCGGCTCGCGCGCTGGGCAACATCACCAACCTCAAGGACCGTTCCAAGATTTTTGAGGCCCATTTCGTCATGGCGGACGAGCAGCCTGCGGCCAGTGACGCTGCTGAGCCGGCCGGTATCAGCGACGACCGCAAGAAGGCGGTACAGATGATGGAGTCGCACTGGGGCGCGGAATTTGACGACGCGGAAGACGCACAGAAGGAGAATGTCTCGATTCCTGGCACCCACGTGTCCGGAAAGGCTGGCGACCAGCGCGGCATCCAGGTCGGCGGCGACGGCATGGGTGGCAAGAAGTCGGGCCGCAGCTGGAGCTTTGGCGGCGAGGATGACGAGGCCGCGCCCGCAGTACCGGGCAAGAAGCCAAACAAGGCCACGCAGGCCAGCGACTTTTGGAACTTTTAAAAGATGACGGTCGCGCCTTTCCTTACAGTGTGACCTTGCTGCGCTGGGTTTGCCTTTTTGCAATGTTTCCTTTGTCGCTTTATTTTGATGACGAATTTACATGCCTACAGATGTTTCTATGACCCAAAGGCCTTTACTGCTTTCCACCCGACTGTTCTATTCTATTTTACTCTTTCGAAATTGTTTCATTTTGTTTTCAATACCATGGACGAGTCTTTGAGCCCGTTCTCCTACATCGTACTACAGATTGTTGTATTACCAAATGAAGCTCATCCAGCACGTTTTTTGACAAGACAAACGGAACGAGTGGACAGCATTTTCACCTGGTGGTCTTTACGTTTTGTTAGCAAGTCCCATTTTGGTGGACTTTCCGAGATGGGACGTTTCGTAAGCCAGATGAGAATGAGCACCCTGGCCAAAGGAAACGAGGCAATCAAAGTGGTTTATGCTTGCAGTCCCGTGCGCCTGTAGTCACTGAGAGACGGATTAGGCAGAAATCAAAGTGTTTAAACGGGTGAAAACCTGAACCCAAAGCGTCACATGAAATAAACACTGGTATGGTTGGATATACAAAGCATGCAACATTTGCGATTGGGGTTGAAACCGAGTTTAGTAAATACATCGAAGCAGTTGTAGACAGGTGCCAGAAAGGTGGCGTCCATCAAGTCTGCACGTAATACTTGGGTGTCCTTGTTCCTCGCTGGAAAAGACTGAGGCGGGACAATGAGTGTTTTCTGGCCCCTGGCAGGTAATCTCCTGGCACTGGTATGACGAAGCCTGTTGAGCCCCAGCCAATGGGATCGTAGCCAATGCTGCGTCCCTTCTTCCCCTTACTCCACTCATTCTTTCTGCCCTTCGTTCCTTCTATTTCCCACCCACACCCTACCAAACGCGCCCGCCCAACGTTTGAGAAACGGCAGGCGCGCACCGCGTCGAGCCCGCAATAGAAAATAAATCGATTTACTTTGTTGACGCGGGAAGGCACGGGGCACTCGTCATTTTGGGTTTGGGGCCGCACCTGCCTGTCCAACCAATTTTGGTGCTAATTTGCAGCCACACTCGTCTGCCTTCCTTCTGCATTCTATGAATTACTGTTTTGCGCCTTTCTTGACACCTGCGACGTTCTTCCTTGGTCATCCTCTCCTTTTTGTTTCTTTTCCTTTCGGCTCTGCATCCTCGCTTGCGCGACCGAAACGCGACCAAAGTAGACGACGTCCAACACAACGAATTCACGACCGGATAACGACCTAAAGGGGGGCACGCACTTACAGGGGGCGGTGCCTGCATACCGCCTGCGTGTCCTTTTATCTCTCCATTTCGGAGTCTCTTTTTCTCAACATTTTCCACAACGACGAGCCTCGAAAGCCACTCGCGATTTTTCCCGGCGCCGACAAACGTGAAGACGATAAGAATCTGGTGCAGGGACCGTTTGCGACGCGACTGGGACGGCTTGGCTCCTTGGTAAACACGGCGGGGAGAACGGCCGGTGTTCACCCATTTTGCAGCGGCGCCGAGTTCATGCGCCGAGTCCCCCAAGCCGTGCACTAGTGAACACCCGATCGGATCGACGATTTGCGCGCACCGCGACTTTCAGCGACGACCGCCGCGACTGAGTGTGCCCGATATTTCCGCATATTATCCACTCGCGACCCGCAACGTCCTTTTCTGCGCACCGACCCGTACTTTGCGCTCCGACGCGGAGTCGGCCATCGCGCCAGAGAGACATGTGCTGCAGCCACCAGCTGTTGCCTGCTCTTCTACCGTGCCGGGACTGCCCGCTGTACGCTCTTGTTGATGTGTAGCGGCGGCACCCGTTTTCTTGTTCATTTTGTGTGACGAGGAGACCAGTGGCGACGCGAAACAAGACCTTTGAGGGCGCAGTCAGATTATTAGTGGGGTTTCAACTTGCTGCACACCGCTGACCACATAATCACGACTGGCCGGCGACTTACGCTCCTTTTTCACCTGGCAGACACAACCTGACAGCTACACTCCTTCCACACCCCGGAAAGCACACACAACTCGCCCATCATGGCTCCAGGTGCTCCCGCCGGCGCCGGCGGGAACATCAAGGTCGTGGTCCGTGTGCGTCCTTTCAATGGACGAGGTATGCCGCTCCTTTGGTTTGATTTCCTGATGCGCTGCGCACATCTGTTCCGATCCGTACTGACCTGACTGTTCTCTTCCACAGAAATGGATCGCAATGCCGCGTGCATTGTGGAAATGCGCGACAACCAGACGGTTCTCACACCACCACCAGACCACGCCGGGCCTGCAAAGGGAAACAAAGATACGTCACAGAAAGTCTTCGCCTTTGACAGATCGTACTGGAGTTTCAACAAAGACGACCCCAACTACGCCGGCCAATCGAACTTGCACGAAGATCTCGGCCTGCCGCTGCTCGACAATGCCTTCCAGGGCTACAACAACTGTATCTTTGCCTACGGCCAGACCGGTTCGGGCAAGTCCTATTCGATGATGGGCTACGGCAAAGAGATCGGCATCATCCCCCAGATTTGCCAGGACATGTTCAAGCGGATCGGAGAGATGCAGTCCGACCCGAACCTGAAGTGCACCGTCGAAGTGTCCTACCTCGAAATTTACAACGAGCGCGTCCGCGATTTGTTGAACCCGGCCACAAAGGGCAACCTCAAGGTCCGCGAGCATCCGTCCACCGGCCCCTACGTCGAAGATTTGGCCAAGCTTGTCGTCGGAAGCTTTCAGGAGATCGAGCACCTCATGGACGAGGGCAACAAGGCACGGACGGTGGCGGCGACAAACATGAACGAAACCTCGAGTCGAAGTCACGCCGTGTTCACTCTGATGCTGACCCAGAAGAAGTTTGACGTCGAGACCAAGATGGAGATGGAGAAGGTCGCCAAGATCAGTCTAGTGGATTTGGCGGGCTCCGAGAGAGCCACGTCCACGGGTGCCACCGGCGCGCGGTTAAAAGAAGGTGCCGAGATCAATCGCTCTCTGTCGACCCTCGGTCGCGTCATTGCTGCCCTTGCCGACCTCTCGACAGGCAAGAAGAAGAAGGGCGGCGCATCAACACAAGTGCCCTACCGAGACAGTGTCCTGACGTGGCTGCTCAAGGACTCGCTTGGTGGCAACAGTATGACAGCCATGATTGCTGCCATCAGTCCCGCCGATATCAACTACGACGAGACACTGAGTACGCTCCGCTATGCCGACTCGGCCAAACGCATCAAGAACCACGCCGTCATCAACGAGGACGCCAACGCACGCATGATCCGCGAGCTGAAGGAGGAGCTGGCACTGCTTCGAAGCAAACTCGGCGGTGGAGGCCCCGGAGGTGCCGGCGGTGCCAATGTGCCGCCCGACGAGGTCTATGCGGAAGGCACGCCCTTGGAAAAACAGCTCGTCAGCATCACGCAAGCAGACGGTACCGTAAAACGCGTGTCGAAAGCAGAGATCGCCGAACAGCTCAGCCAAAGCGAGAAGCTGCTCACGGACCTGAACCAAACATGGGAGCAGAAGCTCGCCAAGACCGAGGAGATTCACAAGGAGCGTGAGGCGGCACTCGAAGAGCTCGGCATCAGCATCGAGAAGGGATTTATCGGACTCAGCACACCCAAGAAGATGCCCCATTTGGTCAACTTATCCGACGACCCATTGCTCGCTGAGTGCTTGGTGTACAACCTGAAGCCAGGCACCACCACCGTCGGTAACGTGGATTCGCCAACCGAACACCAAGCCAACATCCAACTGAACGGCTCTCGTATCTTACAAGAGCACTGTACGTTTGAAAATGCGCCAGACGGTACGGTCACGGTGGTTCCCATGCCTGACGCTGCTGTCATGGTTAACGGAAAGCGCATCACCGAACCGAAGCAGCTGCACTCGGGCTACCGCGTTATCCTCGGCGACTTTCATATTTTCCGTTTCAACCATCCCATGGAGGCGCGTGCCGAGCGGGCTGAAATACGCGCGGAGCAGAGCCAGAGCCTGCTGCGGCAGTCCATCACAGCGAGCCAACTCCAGAGTCTAGACCGCACGTCCCCATCGCCGAGCCCACGAGGTGTGGGCCATGGGCACGACCGGTCGATCAGTAAGGCTGGTTCTGACTTTGGAGGGTTCAGCGACAGCCGACCAGAATCGCCTGCACCATTCTCGCGCAGCGGCCGCGACTCGGACTGGTCATTTGCGCGCCGCGAGGCTGCTGGTGCGATTCTGGGCACCGACCGCAACGTTGCCAGCCTGACGGACGACGAGCTCAACACCCTCTTCGAGGAGGTCCAGCGGGCGCGTGCGGAGCGTGTGACAACGGGCCGCGAAGGAGACGAAGACATGGAATCCATGTCGTCGTATCCGATCCGTGAAAAGTACATGTCTACGGGAACGATTGACAACTTCTCTCTCGATACTGCTCTCACCATGCCATCGACGCCCAAACAGGGCGAGGTGGACGACAAGCTGCGCGAAGTCCGTGAAGAGCTGCAGATCCAGCTTGAGAAGCAGAAGGAGGAGTACCAGGACCAGCTCAAAACGGCCGAGGCCGCCAACGTCGAGGTCGAAGAGATCAAGAAGGAAAAGGAGCGCATGGTGGATGCTCTGCAGACTCTCAAAGTCGAAATGCAAAAGAAACTCGACGTGCAGCGACAACAGTATGAGGAGAAGATGGAGAAGATGGACCCGTTGAAACGGCCCAAAGCTAAGCCGAAGCTGTCGCCCGAAGAGATCGAACTCGCCAAGAAGGTGACCAAACACTGGCGCAGCCGCCACTACGTGCAGATGGCGGAGGAAGTGCTTCAACATGCGGCCACTCTGAAGGAGGCCCAAATCATGAGCCACGAACTGGGCGAGAACGTCTTCTTCCAGTTCGCCGTGGTCGATGTCGGCCATTCCATCTTTTCCTCTTATGACATGGTCTTGAACGATTTGGAGGAGGGCGAAGATCCTGCGCTCGAGCAGGCCCAGAAGCCCTGCGTCGGCGTGCGCTTAATCGACTATAAGTACAACGTGGTGCGCCTGTGGAGCTTGGAGAAGCTGTACGAGCGCATCCGGCAGATGCGCCTCCTCCACCAGTGCCTCGACCAACCGGAGTACGGCGACCCCGTTGACATGGCCAGTCCATTTATTGAAAGCCACATGCCCGCATACACTCTCATAGGTGACGTGGATGTGCCGCTCAAGACTGTTTTTGAGTCGCGGGTCCAAGACTTTTCGCTCGACGTTATCTCGCCGTACACAGGCCATGCGATCGGCATCATGAAGCTGGCGCTGGAGCCATCGAGTGCCCGCGCCCCGCCCAGCATGCTCAAGTTCAACGTTGTGATGCACGAGATGATTGGTTTCCCCGAGCGTGAGGGCACCGAGGTCCACGCACAACTGTTCATCCCCGGCATCTCGGAAGACGACGGCATCACGACAACGCAGATGATCCATGATTTCGACGAGGACCCCATCCGGTTTGAGAGCGTGCACAGCATGAGCGTTCCCATTGCCGGCCCGCAGGACGCCACGCTGCGTGTCGCCGTCTTTGCCAAGGTGTCGTCCATGCACCTGGACAAGCTCCTTAGCTGGGACGACATGCGTGACGCGGCGCTACCGACTCGTGAGAGCGGCCCGCAGGCTGCGCGGATCGCTGAATCGCACTTCTTTACCGAAGAGCGCCATGACGTCCTCTCCCGCATCCAGATTCTCGAAATGAACGAGGAAGGCGCCTATGTGCCGGTGGAGGTAGCACAGCTGAACGAGCTGGATCCGGGCACGTTCCAGTTGCATCAGGGCATCCAGCGGCGCATTGCCATCAACGTGTCGCACAGCTCGGGCGACATGCTGCCGTGGGACGGTGTGAGCGCGCTGCGCGTCGGTAAGATTCAGCTTCTGGATGCATCGGGCAAGCAGCCGGACCCCAACAGTGTGCCGCCGCCCGACGTGACACTCAAGCTGTCGTCGGCACCGTCCTTCCGCAACAACGCCAACGGCACGCGCAGCATCACACTGACCGGCCAATGGGACTCGAGCCAGCACAACTCGGCTCTGATGGACCGCGTGACGGCCGACAAGTTCCGCGTACAGATGACGGTGTGGTGGGACATCACGTCGGAAAAGCTCGCCGAGCCCATGAAGTTCTCGGCCACCTTTTGCTGTCAGATCCTCTCGCGGTCGTTTGTGCGGCAGCCGTCGATGCTCTCGGCGCTCTGGCAGTCTGTCCGGTTTGTGCGCTCCTCGACGGCCATGTTCACGATTGCCACGCGACCGGCACCGATCAAGCGTGTGGGTGACCTTTGGCGGATGAACAGCCAGCACGACTATGTCAAGGGCGAGGAGAATCTGGGTGCGTGGGCACCTCGCGGTGTCACGCTCGTGAGCGACTACATCAGCGGACGCAAGAAGCGACAGCGCATCCTGGAGATTGGCGCGGCACAGAACGCACTCAAGCGCATCGGCCTCCCGGCGCCCAAGTTCACGCCCGAGCACGAGGCACGCCTGCTTGCTGAAAGTGGGATCCACAGCGCCGATACCAGCGACGATGTCGCGGTTGACGAAGAGGCCCGGGAACGGAACGGCGAGATGGAATCAATCGAGGAACTGCTTCGGGATACGCCGGAAGCGTCGCAGATTCTAGCCGCTCCGGCCGAACCGGCACCAGAAGCCACCCTCGAGGCCGTCCCAGAAATCGAACCAAGGGCCGACGACGAGGCTGCTACACCAAGGGCAGAGCCCTCAAGCGCGCCCTTTGCGGAATCCAGCGAAGTAGAGCCGGGTGAAAAGCCCACTACGGATACCGCAACCGTGGCCGCCGAAGAAGAGGACAAGGCACCGGAGGAGCAGCTTACTCAAGCGGGAGCCGAGCCTGAGGTCCCAGGTCCGCTTGCATCTGGTTACACGGAGGAGGAAGAGCGTGTGCTGCACAAGAGCCTCAAGCTGTGGAAGAAGTACCCGGACCCGCTGGCGCAGCTCCTGGCCCCTGAGAATACGGCGCCACCCGTCAACGGTGTGACATCGGATTCGGCCGAGCCACCCAGTCTCATTACCACCGTGATCCGCGTGCCCAAGAACCCCAAAGTCATGAAGGGCGGCTATCTCCTGGTACCGAGCAATGACGCCACGCGGTGGATCAAGCGCTTCGTGGAACTGCGCCGGCCGTACCTGCACATCCACAACGTCACGGATGGTGACGAAGTTGGTCTCGTCAGCTTGCGCAACGCCCGAGTCGAGAGTGAGCCCGGCATCCTGGGCCTGCTGGAGAGCCGCCATCCGGACTACCGCCACAACGGCTTCGACATGCAGGATCATCACGACTACTCACAGGACGAAAGCCAGTCGGAGCAGAACGGCGGGTACACCAACGGCGGCAGCAGCAACGGCGACGAGAGCGCCAGCGAAGCGGAGAGTCACCGTACGAACGGTACGAGCGGTACGAAGGGTACGAACGGCACTGACGGCACCGACGGCAACAACAGCAACAACGGCATGTCCTCACCACCACCCTCGCTCCCACCAACACCGGCCTCCAAGAGCACGACCCCGTACCGGGCTGGCCACCGGAGGACGTCGTCGGGCCGGATGATCTCAACCATCTGGACCGGCAGCGGTGGCAGTGTCGGCCATGGCGGCCCCAAGCGCCGCCCTGGTCTCCAGCGGCTCAGCGACCGGCTGCAGGCAGGCGTGTTTGCCATCTACGGGACGGACAACACATGGCTGTTTGCGGCACGCAGCGAGCGCGACAAGATGGAGTGGATTGCACGGATCGATCAGAGCTTCCTGATGCCTCCTTCGTCCGTTTCGTCGTCTATGGCCAACACTCGGTCCGCGAGTCCCAACATTGCTGCTGGTGTCGTCGGTGCTGTCGGTGCCGTCGGTGCCTTTATAGGATCCAAGATGGGGCCGACAGGGCAGAATGCGGACGGGTGACGACGTTGTGCTCCAACCTGACGAAGTCATGATGCCAAGCTGCGCTTTTCGTTTCTTTTGGAATTCAGCATGTTCAAGTTTCGAACCAAACGCCAGCGACAAACGAAAGCAGCAACTCTTGAAAATTAAAAGAAGACGAACACAAAATCGAATACAAAATCAAACACAAAAAATCACCAAAAACAAAGCCCAAAGACACCCATAAGATAGCAAACACAGCGGCGGATATACCCAATTGTTTCTTTTTCTTTTCTCTTTACTTTCGTTATTTTTCCTTTGTCCTAGAATGTATATTATACCAGATGATGAGCTTCGACTCCGTCTCGTTCAGATGCCTCACTTACCTGACTCTCTCCTCTTTCCCAATCTGTCATATTATTTCCTAAATTTCCACGGATAGAGATGTAAACAATCGATTATACCCCACCGTTTTCGTCGTTTTGTTCAAAGTTCCTATTTCTCGTGTCTTATTTGTCGCCCTCTCAGAGATTGTTCGCCCGAGCTTCAGCTGCTCGCATATGTTCCTTTGCTTTTTTCTTTTTACCCTAGCTTCCCTTGTTGCCCTGGTCTGCATCGAAGAGGGCCTGCTGCTACGGGATGGACTGTCGATGTTCCTGGAGAATGTAAAGTATCACGAAATGAAAACACATATTCCACTGTCAAGTTACGAGATGGCCGTCGTAAGTAAATACTGAAAACGGAAACTGCTTACGAGTCCCCTCTTTTTCTTCTGTCTTCACGGTACGGCAGGGACGATGGTGAAGAAGGTGGCAGGAGACAGGATGCAGGGTCGTGTGTACTTGCCTGATTCGGCCACTTGCTTCATAGCAGGAAAAGGCAACGGCAGAACGTTTTACGAAGCAACCGCAAAGACCTAGTAATGGGCCAGGCCAAGGAATCTACCGTCGCCTGCGCCGGGTGCAATTTTTTCTTATCTTGCCAACTGTACTGTGTATTAGCGCCTAAAGAAGAAAGGAGTGACTTCATTGTGAGTAGGGAAGAGGGCAGGAGCTTCCGAGTGACCGTCCGCCGTATTAGAGGCTGCACTGGGGCGAATTGAGCAGGAGCACAACAAGACAAGCAAAAAAAGCGCGAAAAAAAATCTTCCCGTCACCTCTCTCCTTCCTCACTTTGTGTTGTCCGTTTGGCTTAACAGCCCCCTCTTTCGTCACTCCCCCCACTTTTAAAAAAGTACAAGAAAAGCAGGTGTTACTGAGAGCATGAGTGCATGTGCGCCACGGTCGCTCCTGCAACTACTAGGACCACAACAGCGTGTAAAACTGTGTTCGGCCTCGCCTGCTTTAAAAGGACGGATCCGTCCACTTCCCCCCAGCTTTGCTACTGTTTCTTCCTCTCGTCATTGTCATTGTCAATTCGTACCTCAACTCCCTCCAACACCGACCGGATCTCGTTTTCGACGACACGTCTCTTCACCTACCGTCAAAATGTCCGACATTGTCCACGAGACCATTAAGGGTAAGATGCAGAGCCAATTCCTCCGGCTCTTCCAAGCCCTCTCCCGCGGCCGTACAGCTGCGCAATCTCGCGATGCTGTTTTTGCGTCTTTTGTTACAATACCCAATCTCGACGAAAACCTTCTCGTCGCCCCCAAGACCGTCCTTTACTTTGCCCTGCTCTCGGTCCCGCACCGTCTATGCGCCTCCTGACCCTATCGTCAACTCTGCCTCTCTTGCTTGTGGTGACACTTTCCATTGCCATCTTCTGAGAGGCTTCATTTGGTGACAAGCCGATTTGGGCTACCAAACCACATTTCCGTACCATCACAATCTATCTCTTCCAATTTCTGTCCGCATTGGCGACAGTCTGGGTATACGTGTTACATCCCACCTTGCGCGTCGCAAAGCTTTTTCCCTCAGCTGCCCTCCCCCTCCACCAATTTTTAAATCTTATCGCTTATCGCAACAGTTTGCCCCTCTTTTTTTCTGTCCGCGAACAACGCTGTGCACCTTAACACGCTGATGCCCTGTAAATGGAATGACGTCTTGGAGAAGCGGCCAGGGGCATTTTCATTAATGTCCCCGACACTAACAAACATTGCGCAGATGGCTGGTTCCGCGAGATCTCCGATATGTGGCCCGGCCAGGCCATGACGCTCCGCGTCAAGAAGGTCCTCCACCATGAGAAGAGCAAGTACCAAGATGTGCTCATCTTCGAGTCCACCGACTACGGCACCGTCCTGGTCCTCGACAACGTCATCCAGTGCACGGAGCGCGACGAGTTTTCGTACCAGGAAATGATTACCCACCTGGCCCTGAACTCGCACCCCAACCCCAAGAAGGTCCTCGTCATCGGCGGCGGCGACGGCGGTGTTCTGCGCGAGGTTGTCAAGCACGACTGCGTCGAGGAGGCCATTCTCTGCGACATTGACGAGGCCGTCATCCGCCTGTCGAAGCAGTACCTGCCCGGCATGGCCGCTGGCTTCAACCACCCCAAGGTCAAGGTCCACGTCGGCGACGGCTTCAAGTTCCTCGACGATTACAAGAACGAGTTTGACGTCATCATCACCGACTCGTCGGATCCCGACGGCCCGGCCGAGAGCCTGTTCAAGAAGTCGTACTTTGAGTTGCTGCACAGCGCCCTGCGTGAGGGCGGCGTCATCACAACCCAAGGTTGTACGTTCCTCCCCGATTTCTTTGACCAACGCATATCCGCTAACATATGTTTTTTTTGCCCCGACCAACAGCCGAGAACCAGTGGCTGCACCTGCCCCTCATCACAAAGCTCAAGCAGGACTGCAAGGAGGTCTTTGCTGTCGCCGAGTACGCCTACACGACGATCCCCACCTACCCGTCGGGCCAGATTGGCTTCATGGTCTGCAGCAAGGACCCCAACGCCAACGTCAAGGTGCCTCTGCGCAAGTGGACCCCCGAGGAGGAGAGCAAGCTGTGCAAGTACTACAACTCCGAGATCCACAAGGCCAGCTTCATCCTGCCCAACTTTGCCGCCAAGGCTCTGCAGTAAGTGCCGCCTGTGGCAGTGGCAGAAGCGACGGAGGAGTACGAGAATGTGGTGGTAGAAGTGCTCTTAGTGCGTTCCCAGGCACAGGCATATTTCACGCGGTCTTTTCACATGATGACTTTAATGCCTTTGAGCAAGTCATATTTGGTAATTTTGACTTGCAATAATTTTTTTTTCTGTTTTTTTGTTTAACATGCGTGGCATTTTGTATATCTCCTAGGAGCGAGAGGCATCATTCTCGGCAGGGAATATCTAAAAGGGAAATTTAAAAATGGGAATGAGATTTCAAACAGCTGTCAAGAGACAAGAAAGTGAAATTTATGCAAGTGAGTAAATCTCAGTGGCTGGCTGGTGGGTGACAGTCCGCCGAAAGAAACGTCGCGGCGAAGATTGCGTAGATCTCGCTTATAAAATCGAGACAAAGTCTATTCTTTTGTGTTTATTTTTCGTATTCCAAGTTACATTTTCCACTGCCATTTATTCCTCGTACCGCACCTTGCCTGCGCTGACGTCAGGGTACACGTCAAACCGCCGCTGGTCACGCAACGGAATGCTGCTCCGCGTCGACTCAATGGTGTCGGCATCGAGATCGGCCGTCACAATGGTCTCCTTCTCGTCGGCCTCCACCAGCACCTTGGCCATCGGGTCTACCACCAAGCTGTGGCCCCAAGCGTGGTAGGACGCGTTCAGATCCCGTGCCGGGCTGCAGAACGCCACGTACACCTGGTTGTCCATGGCGCGGGCCTGGCCCTGCAGCCTCCAGTGCAGCGGGCCCGTCGTCGTATTAAAGGCGCCCGGGTAGACGAGTGCAAAGCAGCCCTGGCGTGCGGCCACGGTCGCCAGCTCGGGGAACCGGACGTCGTAGCAGATGGCCACGGCAATCTTTCCGTACGGCGGCAGGTCCACAATCGTCACCTTGTTGCCCGGGGAGAGAACATCCGACTCTTTGAACTTGATCTTGCCCGGGATGTCAATGTCAAACAGATGCACCTTGCGGTGCGTCGCCAGCAGCGCGCCGTCGGGGCCAAACGTCAGGGACGTGTTGTAGTAGGTCTTGCCGTCGTCCCGCACGGCGTCCTTGGTCTCCACCGATTCCGGGATCGACCCGCCCACGAGGTAGACGCCGGCCTCCTTGGCCATGGCCGACAGGGCGTGGAAACTCGGGCTCGCCTCTTTCGTCGGCGGCGACGGCAGCAGCGGCTCGGCGTACGACGGGAAGTAATCGCACCCATACGGCGAATTGAAGCACTCGGGCAGCACAACAAGACCCGCCCCCAGCTTGGCCGCCTCGAGCACCTTGTCGCGGGCGTGCGCCAGGTTGGCAGCCTTGTCGGCGCCGCTGGCCAGCTGGATGCAGGCAATCCGGAGATTCTTGCGCAGGAGCGCCGAGCCCGGCAGCTGGGCCGGCGGGGTCTTGGTCGTAGTCATGGCGGCGGGTGAGAAGTGGAAGAGGCGAGAAGACAACGGAGCAGTAGGCGGCGCGGACCGGAAACGGGAGGATGAGGTTGCCAGGCCGAAGAACGGAGCCTGTCGGCAAGTGGCCAGTGGAGTGCGAGACAGACAAGATGCGTGAACAGTCAAAGACGTAGCAGTTCGGGACGAGGCTCGAAGGGAACCAGCTTGCATTGTTAATGGAGCGGGTAAGGGAGCGTGAAAAGTCGCTGGATTTCGGGGAAGACGAAAGGGCCGCAAATATGCGTCGCGGGTGGGAAAGTGCTATGGATGCGGTCCTTTTCCAGGCATTGTCCGCCGCGAAGGAAGGTGGGGTAGGGGTGACGGCGGACAATTGGCGATGACACCATGACGGTTGGAACGAACTACCCTTTTGGGAAGTTGCGTTCCACTTCGGGAAATACAGCCTTGTTAAGTCGACGACGACATCAAGGGAAGGCGTAGAAGGTTGTTCTTTCCCCACGATGTAATATATGTGGTGACATGTGCATCTTTTGGACCACCTCTCGAATTGCATTCTGCAAAGGAAATTTGTGTTTACATTTGGCAATGCCGCCGAACCTGAGCAACGCCCACGACTTATCGGACAATACCTACAAATTACAAGGCTCGTCGTCATTGGGAGCATGAGCCGGTACGCCACAAACACCTTTGAGACCGTTTTTGGAAGCAGAAACCGCGACAATGGTAACGGGTATCGAAATACAACAAGAGACGTCTCTAGCAACAGCAGCCCCTTGAGTCCATTTCCACCGTCACAGCGGCAGTACCGGGCCAGCTTGAGCGCTGACATAAGGTCGGAGCCGCAGCCGGAGCCGGGGCAGATTGAACACAGCGAAGACAGGTTCGACCGAGACTTCATACAAGGGCACGAGTCATGGCAACCCACGAACAGTGTGCATAGGGTCACCAATCCGGACAAGAGCAGCGGGCAATCTACATTCCAGCATTCTTCTGGTGTTGTGCTTGGGAAGCGAAAGGCAACCAGACAGGCACATATGGGAAGCTCTTCGACACCCAAGACGCTTATTGATGATGCAGTCCGGCAGAAGAGGCAGCGATTCTTGAAGATGGACGACTGGACCGGTATCAGGTCCTTCGCGGCCAACAAGCCGCTCGAAATACAATTTCAGCAGCACAACACCGATGCTCCGGTTTGGGGATGGAGCAAGCAGGCTGGACCTATACATCCCCCGTCACAGCCGCAACTGCCACAAACACATATGAGCCGACGACCGTTCCCAAGAGCCATTTTAAGTACAAGGAGCCTCTCACCGCGACACACTTCGGTAGAGGGATACCGCAGTCAATCGAGCCACCTTCCCACCAGAAGGCGCGATTGTGAAGGGCAAGCTAAGATTACCGTACCTGGCCGACAACCCAGTGGACAGTCTCATGAAACAAACGTAAAAATGGGCAATTACCGCTACCAACCAGCCCCTATTGCATTCGGAAGCAGAGATGGCACGTTCGCCTCGTCGAAAAGCAGACTCTCTTCCAATACCAGCAGTGGGCAATCCCCATTTCGTCTGGCTCCAGCCTCGTCGTCCATCGTTGGAAACGACCATCCTTCGGCACAAAATCGGTGCCCTACAGACTGCTATCTTCCTCCATTATCCAACCGGCCACCGAGCAGCATTCATCCTTCTTTGTCGCAGAGACAACGATGGGAGAAGAGCCCTTACTTTGTTGAAAGCCAGCCGAGCACACCAACGAATAGTAATAGAATCACGACGCCGTCTTTCGTATCAACTGGTAGGTTATCGGTGGCCTCCGGGACACTGTCGGAAACGGAGCAGCAACGGTTCGAGAGCGACGGGCTTGCCATTCTGTCGCCGTCCATGTCAGCTCATTTGGCTCGTACGTCGAGCAGCCGCAGTCTCGCTGCACCGCCGGCTCTAGATAGAGAAAGTACACGAAGCATCATTCAGCAGACATCTGAGATCCAAGATGCATATGACGGTTGTCAACAAAGGCGAGTTGCATGTAAAGAGGCCTTGGCAAAAGAAGCTAATGGACACGAGGCCGATTGCCAAGTCAGTGGGCAGGAGCCCATCGAGCAAGAATTCGCCGAACTTGAATATCATTTCGATGAGGATGTCGGACACGAAAACCTCGACCGTGAGCAAACACCTGATGACTTTCCTGTCGACACAAACGACGAGCAGCGAGCCGTGGATGATTTCCCCACTGTTCAAGGATCACCAAATATGGCAAGCGTTCCGTTCGATGCCAAGGCAGACAGGACAGCGTATGTGGAAGAGCTCACACGCGCACATGAGAACGGCATATTCGAAGCGAACCGGGTCAATATTCGAGCCATTCCCGACTGGGACGACGTGGAAGATGCCATCGAAGACAGTGATGAGTCTGAGAAGGACGCTATACGGCGCAAGTCGAAAAGGGCACCAGCGAAGCGACAATATTATCGGACCGGGGCGGCAAGGTAACAATGGGCTTCAGGCCTGAATATCGTCACTCCAGAAAGGTGAATTGCGGTGTGAATAGCAAGCATCTCAATAAAACATGTTTCTATCAAGGTTACGATAATGCCACTGCTCATTTCCTTTCTGTTTTACAGTTCGCCTGTGCTTTGCCACTGTTTAGTCTCCATATTTTGGTATCCTTTTGCGTCATGCCGAACCCGAGCCCAATCAGCATACCATATTCCATCAACCGGAATTTCGGTATTTTCGAATTTTGGCGGCTGTACGAGTGAGTGTATTTAGCTACTTCCAAAGTCCTAGAAACATCGTGCTGCCTACTAAATCCCCTGCTGCCATGGTAAAACTGGGGGGAAGGGCCGCCGAGATCGCCAAGAAACATGCCTGAAGAACCAATCGGGCGTCGCTGGCCTGGGCAGACAGCAGGATTGGGCGCAGGATTTGAATTTCTGTGGAATCTCCGGGGCTCCGAAGGTTCAGCGCTGTGATTTTGTTATATCCGAGCGAGGATGCCCCGCTAAAAATGCAGCTGCTAAAACGTCACGTCGCTGACATCGCCTGCACCACACACTGAGCCTCTCTGTAATCTGATTGATACTTGCCAGGTTATCGCCGCCCCTAGCTTTTTCACGGTAGCTCTTTCCCTCGGACAAGAGATTGATAGCCGAAAAAGGGAAAGTGTGTCATTTTCTCACTTTCCTGTTGCGTTCCAATTCGCCCACCGTCGCCCCTGCCCCTCCTGGAGGGCATCCGCACCTTCCCCAGAGCTGCCAACTGGGACCGTAATTCGGCCTGGCCTTTGATCGCTCACACACGCAACTTTTTTTTCGCCTCCTCGACACCCATCCTCCCCTCTCCACCGTGATTTTCGTAATCCAACCTTTTGTTCCGCGGACCGCTTAACACTGTTCTGACTCGTTTATCCAAGCTTGCATTCTCTCTCTCTTTCATTTAAACATTCTTCACAACCATCGCGCATCACAACTCGACGTTCCCCGATTTGACGCAACTCACATTTCGCTGACATTTCGCTTCGCTAACGATAACCGAAAATCCTCGTCTCCAATAATCCACTCAAACCGCCACGATGTTCACTGCCCGCACTGCTCTGACGCGCTCGCTCGCTGCTGCGTCCTCGGTCGCTGCGTCTGTGTCGACCAAAACTGCTCTGCGCGCCGCCACCCGGCCATCGCTGACGGCTGCCCCTGCTGCGACCGTTCCGAGCGCGCGCCGCTTCTACCACGAGAAAGATAAGTGCCTCACTGCTGCGACTTCCCGTGTGCCAAACCGACCTCCACCCAATCCGGTGCATCCCCAACGCCATTCCTGATATCAACCCCATTTTGGCTGCCCGCCGCCCCAAAACCTACATCATTTTGTTCTTCTGCTTCTCCTCTTTCGTCTGTGCTAACTTTTGCCCTGGGTTTCCCCGTTTCCACTGATCGACCACTACTCTCGTCCCCGTAACGTCGGCTCGCTCGACCGCAAGGATCCCTCGGTTGGCTCGGGCCTCGTCGGCGCCCCTGCCTGCGGCGATGTCATGAAGCTCGATATCCGTGTCGACCCCGTCACCAACAAGATTATCGAGGCCAAGTTCAAGACGTTCGGCTGTGGCTCGGCTATTGCCAGCTCCAGCTACCTGACCACCCTCGTCCACGGCAAGACGCGTATGTCTCCCATCCCCGCTTTGATTCTCCGCTTTGGTCTTTCATCCCGCAAACATTTGTACTAACCACAATACAGTGGACGACGCTGTCGCTATCAAGAACTCGGAAATCGCCTCGGAGCTGTGCCTGCCCCCAGTCAAGAGTGAGTTTTTTTTTACTACTGGCCCTTCCCCCAGCCCAAGACAAGAGACACAACTAACAATCTAGTGCACTGCTCTATGCTTGCTGAGGATGCCATCAAGGCCGCCGTCGCCGACTACCGCAGCAAGCGTCCCGAGACCAGCCTGAGCGGCACCGGCAAGACCCTGTCGCAGGCACAAGCCGCACCGCAGCAGGCCGCTGCCCACGCGTAGGGACCCAAAACGAAAACCAAATCTATGATGAACGGCCCCGACGACAGCCGCGACAACGGCGATGCGATGACGTCCCAATCGATTCGACGGCCAAAACTATAAAATCCAATCACGAAATACTCTCCATGTTCTGTTTGGCGGTCTGGCTCCACCGGAACTCGACTGCGCACACCGCATTCGAAGCATCCGGATGAGTAAGGGATAAAAAAATATCACGAACACAAAAAGAGGCGTTATGTTTTTATGTTACCCTGGGATAGGGAGGTGTGAGTGCGGGTTGTATGGGGCCGCGGGGCGGGCTGTTGTGCATTTTCTTGTGCATTTTCTTTCACGTGTGTTTCTCTCATCTTGCTTTTCCTCTATTCATGGCGTTTTGATGTCCATCTTGCTCATCTCTGGGACTCTCTTTTTCTTGTCTCGTTTGTCTTTTCTTCGATCACTGTTCTCACAATGGAAAATTGGAACCTTTTCTTTCTTCAGGCGAAGGAAGGGAGGCGTTCAGAAAGACTGGTCAACTTCCCCACGGTTTGTCTTTTTTCCCACTACAGTATGCCGTACATATTTTTTTTCGTCTGTTCCCTTTGGATTCCCATATTCTTATTTTCTTTGCGTCTTTTTCAACCGTCGTCTGAACGATGCAACGAACAAAATCACATTCCACTCTACCTGTATCAACACCATATCTCAAGAATGAAAGGCAAATAATAGAAATATTACCTGTCACCGGATTTGCAAGCAACAGGTGAGTGAGACGAGACGGATCTGATAAAATGAAAGACTGCATCAAGTCGAGCGGCACTTTCGCAAAGGTGAGAAAATGGTGGGGAAAGGACAGTTGGAAGGCCTCGGCAGCACAAAATGCGTGACGCCATCTGATGAGGCGTTCGCCAGCCGTGGTCTTCAGCGCTATTTGTGCCTGCCACTGCCCTAAACGGTCGCCGTTTCTGCTAAAATTGCGCTGACGAATCAACTTTCGGCCCCTATCAATCTGTTACAGCACACAGTAGCGCCCCAATCCGAGGGCCTAGTGCGCTGTAGTAGCCGGTGATAGCTCAAAACAAAAGATAGACAGCGATTGATAACTCGCTCAGAGGTTCAACAGCCCACCAACGACCAAAGACACTCTGCGATTGCATCGTAACGCTACACACGTACATGTTAGGTTTTGTGCCATTTCTTCGACAAATATCTGGCCTTTTGCTCCTCAGCAACCCCACTGCGGTATCCAGGAACTGCCTACGAATGTACCGTTTGAAGACCTGCCGAATAAAATGCTGATATCCGGCTGAAGAGGTGCCAAATGCACTAAACCGCATTGGGACACACAGCGCCCGGCGTGGGTGCTGGGCGACACGCCACGCAACAAGGGCAAGCACGTTCCTGCCAGTTTGAAACGTAGCTTCCCAAGAGGCTGACCTGTCCAGTTAGTGTCACCAGCCAGTGAGCCAACCCCTTCCCCTTTCTTCTGCCTTCTCCATCTCGTCTCCCCGTCACCTCGCCCTTCTTCCCACTTCTTCTCTCTTTACTCCCTGCATCAAATGTTGCAGCTCAAACCCATTCCTTCGTGGTTTCTTACATTGACTACTGTCACCATCGCCTACAACGCCACCATGTTCAACCCCCGGCGCCTCCTCGCCTCCGTGGCCCTCATCCTGGGTCTCGGCCTCGTCCTGTTCGTCCAGACCGCCGAGGCCGCCAAGGGCCCCAAGATCACCCACAAGGTCTACTTTGACATCACCCACGGCGACGAGCACCTTGGCCGCATCGTCATGGGCCTCTACGGCAAGACCGTCCCCGAGACGGTTGAGAACTTCCGCGCTCTCGCCACCGGCGAGAAGGGCTTCGGCTACAGCGGCTCCACCTTCCACCGTGTCATCAAGGACTTCATGATCCAGGGTGGCGACTTCACCCGCGGCGACGGCACCGGCGGCAAGTCCATCTACGGCGACCGCTTCAAGGACGAGAACTTCAAGCTCAAGCACACCAAGAAGGGCATGCTGTCCATGGCCAACGCCGGCAAGGACACCAACGGCTCGCAGTTCTTCATCACGACGGCCATCACCAGCTGGCTCGACGGCCGCCACGTCGTCTTTGGCGAGGTCCTTGAGGGCTACGACATTGTCGACAAGATCCAGAACGTCAAGAAGGGCGCCCAGGACCGCCCGACGGAGGCCGTCAAGATCACCGAGAGCGGCGAGCTCCCCGTGCCCGAAGAAGGTATTCACGTGGAACTGTAGAGAAAAACAAGAAGTAAAAAAAAGAGAGAGATACAAGGGCACGTATACATAAAAGGTGCAACCCCATCAGCCGAAGAGACAGATTGTACACATCCCAGAAAGCAATAGACAAGGACCATGGTCGATCAAAGAAAGAGAATGACTTCCCGCCTTGACAACGTGCCCTTTCCCTTTTTTTGTACTTTTCTCTTCCCGTTTTCTTCTTTGTCAGGTCCATTGCATAAACAGAGCCGCTTGCTAACTTGTCGTTCTTTCCTACAGCTGCGGAATACGGCTCGGCTGCTTGGGCTCCCGGTGCTGAGCCTGAGAAGGAGGATCCTCCGGCCCCTGGCTCCCCAGTCAAGACCAACAGCAACCCGTTCTCGGCTGCCGGCAGCTCCGAGGGCTGGTCGGTGGCCCAGAAGGGTCTTCTCTTTGGTGTGATTCTGGCGGCTGTGGCCGTGTGGGTGAAGGTGACCCGTCGCAAGAACTCGAAAAAGGAGGATGTTGGCTACGAAAAGGTGCTGTCGTAGACGAGCGGAGAGGTGTGTTCTTTTGAAACAAGCGAGTGACTAGGCATTCTATATAGAAAGCAAATAAAAAGGACATGAAGCAGTTTTTGATTACAAAAGCCAATGACGTCTCAAATTAAAGGCGTTGTTGCAATCGTCTTATTCGAATTGGCGATTTCGTTTTGGCGCGCCACTCTGTAGGCTGCACGTGACTCCACCACTGCAGTCGAAAATCTCATTGTAAACTTTTTTTGCGATAACTATGAGCAATCAGGACCATTGATATAGACTGAGTTTTCTCTCACAAAACTCCTAACAAACTCACACAACTCTCCAAAAAATGAAGATTCTCAGTCTCAACTTTATGACGTGCGCCGTCAAGGCCTGCAAGGCCACGTCGGCCTCGTTCCCGCTGCATCCCCGCGACGCCGAGCTCGCGCACGACGACCTCGAGCTCAACAAGCCCTTTCTCACCACCATTGTGCGGCGGTTGGACTGGCCTGCTCTGAGGACGACTCTTGTGGAGGTACGTAGGAGGCCAAGTCTACCTGATTCTGCATTGTGTACACTGCTAACTCTCCAGCTCGGCTTTCCGCCGCTCCCAGAGGAGGCGCCGACAGACGAGGCTCTGGCGTCGGACGACAAGCTGTTGGCAGAACTACACAATGTCCTGGTGGAGACGGAGATTGTGGAGGGCAAGCTGGTGTGCGGCAACTGCGGCCACGAGTACGGCGTGCGGGAGGGCATTGCCAACTTTTTGCTGCCGAGCCACCTGGTATGAAGGCCTCATGGCATTTGCACAACGTTTTGCTCTTTTATTCCACTGCTTGCATATGGCGTTTGGGAGGCTTAAAATGGGTTAGATTTGTTCTTGTTCGTTTTCTTTTTCTATATTTCTCTTCTTCCAACGCAAGACGACATTTTTCATGGCGGGCCAAGGACCGCCTATGGGCATTTCAAACATGTTTTCACGTTGTGCAACAAGTCCTGATACAATGTAATATGAAAACGACTATATGCAATGATCAATGATTACATCTGGAGCAGACAACCTCCAGGGCGACAATGATGAACAAGACAAAAGGAAAAATGAAAAGAAACCCAAAAAGAACTCCCACCTGACCACATTTTCAAAAAGTGGATGATGATACACCGCAGACAGGTTGTGTCCCGTCTTCTAAAAATATCCTCTTCTCCTACACTATCTCCCAAACGTACCTCCGGCCACCTACTGTTGCTTCTTCTGCGCAGATGGGCCCATCTCCTTGTCAAAAGCGCCGTACGGCACCTTGAGGCTGGCCACTGCCGACAGGCCCACGTACAGGATCGACAGCAGAATGAAGAAGACGATCAGGCTCATAAAGATGCCCGGCGTGAAGAACTGGTACTTTTCAAACAGGCCGCGGGTGTCGCGCTCCTTGGACGGCGCCGACTCCTGGCGGGCCACGTTGCGATGGCGGCGGTCAACCGGCACCTGGGCCGGATCCTCAAACGTAGCCACATAATCGATGCCGTCGTGAACATTCGCATCGGGTGCCGCGGCACCGTTCGAGAAGTAAACGACCGTCAGGTCGCCCTTTGGGAGGTGCTCGTCCAGGGCGTTGCCCAAAACATAATCATTGTCGCCCATGGCCTCGGCGCGCTCCTGGCATGTCGGCGCCAGCGGCAGGGCGGGGAGATCCACCTCGATGATGCGGGCCTCGGGGCACGCATCGTGGATATGCGAACGGAACGCGTCCGTCGTCAGGTTGTTCGATCGGTCGGCCGGGGCGACGACCTCGGACACGGTGAAGCGGCCACGGATGTCGCTGCGAGCAAGCGTGCGTCGCAGCCGGTGGGCCTCGCAGTCTGTGGGCGAGTACAGGTCGCTGGCATGGGCGTTGGGCTGCGAGACGAGCAGGTAGTTCTTCGTAGGGCAGTCGGCGAGGAGCGACTTGGCCGAGCCGAGGACGCGCGCGCTGGTCTGGAGCTGGCTGATGGACGGCTCGACGGGGAGTCTGGCGAGTTAGCAGAGGCCATCGCGAGCAAAACAAGCTCATTTGATAACGATACACGCATCAACATGGATGTATCGGGACATACTCGGCTGTAGAGAAGAGGAGGAAAGGGGAGGAGTCGGAGAAGGCGTGGGCAGTGCCCGCGGCCACGAGGCCAGCGAGGACGGAAACACGCATGACTGGCTCCTCGCGAAAGTGTATATCGGTCGAGAATCGAAAAGACAGTCAGTTGAAGCTGTGCATATGATGCGATCGAGATGGCAGCGAGTCCCGTGGATGGGCGTTGGACGAGGGGGTTGACAGTTGAGGGAAAATTGGCTGGGGGCCTAGCTTGGGAAGGTCCCGAAGCTGCGTTTTGCGATAGTGTACGTCGTTGACCTAAAGAGCGCTTTGCGGCAGGCGAGGCTGTACCGTGGTTAGCGCCCTCAGGCGGCCACATCCAGCGGCCCAGCTGCTGCCAATTGGAGTGGCAGATCCTTATCGGAAAAGAGAGGTACAACAAGAGACACACTAATTATGTGTGTTCCAAAGTACATTTCCATCCGCCATGATTTCTACACTCCGATAACAGTTTTTTCCTGCCAAAAGATCACTCGAACCTCAACCACCGCAAACAAAGGACGTCTGCAATTTGCTCTCAACTACACCTTCCCATCCCCAAATACAAGAGGACGCCTGACCGCTGCGATGTTTATCACACGACCTCGTGAAAAGAAAAATCCTCTCGCCGTCCAGCCGCGCAAGAAGCGCAAGGCCGACTATGCCATTGAGGAGATCAATTTTGACGACAGCGCCCGCTCCGACTACCTCACGGGCTTCCACAAGCGCAAGGTGCAGCGCCAGAAGCAGGCACAAGAGATTGCCACAGAAAAAGCGCGCCAGGAGAAGATCGCTTTCCGCAAAGAGGCAAGTAAACAGAGCCCGGGTGTCCCCATTGACCCCAGGTTGGTGCCCCCCGTTTGAGAAACGCACAATCTAACAGCCCACAGTTGAAAGAGCAACGGCAAAAGGATGTCGAGAATCACGTCCGGCAAGTCAACGAGGCTCTGCGGCAAGCACGGCTGGCAGGCGGTGAGGAGGTGACGGACGAAGAGGAGGAGGGCGACGACGAAGAATGGGGGGGCTTCTCGGGCGACGAAGAGACGCCCACGGCACCCGAGTTTGTTGACCACGAGGAGGAGTACATTGACGAGGACAAATACACCACGGTGACGGTCGAGGCTGTCGACATTGACCGCGAGGGCATGCACGCGCTGTCCGGGCGCCACACGAGCGACAGCGAAGAGAGCGAGGCTGGCAGCGACGAGGACGGCGACGGCGACGGCGCGACCAAAAAGAAAAGGTTCAAAAAGGGCGACCCTGCGGCAGCAGACGACAAGGACCAGAAAAAGAAGAAGGAGTGGCCAAAAAAGAAGAAGAAACAATTCCGATACGAAAGCAAGGCAGAACGGGCCCTTTCGAGATCAAAGAACAAGAAGGGGAAACGGTCCTTCTAAGCGAAGTGATTCGGCATTTGGGCACATTGGTTAAGAAGCGCGCATTTTATAGAGAATCAACATGAACTGCAATGACAAACGGCGTATTCGTTTCACGTCTTCACCCTAGGGACAGGAAAAGTAACAAGAAATGGAATGCGGTATTGGTGGGTGTATAAAAAAAGTGATCGTGCAGCAACAAAGCTGGCTGAGAGTACAAAAACACGGCCTTGGGAACCCAAAATATATGCCGTCCCTTTCTTTCTCTTCTGTCCTCTTCGCTCCTGTGCCGTCCAGCGACGCGTCTGCTATGGACAATGTTTTCCTCCTCCTCGCGCTCCGCCGATCGTCGTGCTTCAGCCCCATTAGATCGCACCAATCTCGGCTTGGAAATCCTCCAGCTCCTTCTGCACCGCCTTGTACTTGTTGGCCATGTCCTCGTACTTCTGCTCCCATTGGTCGCGGTCGCTCTCCAGTGCTTGCACTTTCCGCTCGAAGTGGCCGGCCTTGACGTCAGTCTGCCGAAGTCTATCGGTGGGGAGGAAAGACGGGGTTAGTATACGTGGGCAAGGAAAGAAGAAGAAAAAGAGTCACCTTTTGTCGACAAGGGGTATTTCTCGATATGCTGAAAGAAAGCGGAAGGGGTATGGGATTGGGACGACGGAGACGCCGGGTTCCGGAATCTCCGGCGGGCAGTAACGTACTTCTCGTTGGTCTCGCGGAGCGTCTTGTCGGCCTGCTCGGCCTCCTCCTCGAGCAGCTGCAGCCGGCGCGTCAGGGTCTCGTTCTGGGTGCCGTGCTGGAGACCCTCGTCGGCGGCCTTCTTGAAGTCGGCAATGGTGGCTTCGAGCTTGGCGACCTCCTCCTCCAGCAGGCTGTTCTTGTGCGACAGCGACGTGACCTCCTGCTCCTTGGACAGGTTCTCCTGCTCGAGCTCCTTGACCTTGGCCTTGAGCTCGTTGGCCTCGGTAGTGGCGGAGTCCGCCTCCAGACGGAGCTGGTTCATCTTCTGTAGAGGGGGAACAGAGACATAGTTAGCGCGTTGTCCGTGTTGTGTGCGCTGGACAGTGCACACTGCCACGCAGACCGGTCGGCCTCGCCCGCGATGTTCATGGCAGGATGGCTTCCGAACGGGTGACGAGCTACCCTGCCGCGATACAGAACGCATTGCAGCTTTGAGCGACACAAAGCAGGTGACGAGACAAGGCGGCCAGAGTCCGGGACAATGTACAGGACCAAACGGCGTAGCCAAGCATCAAGATTCAACGGGAAGAGTTGCAAGGCGCGGGGGGAGGGCCTGAACTGACCTCCTTAATGCGATCCATGGTGCTATTTGTAGAGGGGCGGTGGGAGGGCTGGCTGTATTCGTGTAGGTCGGCGGCAGACGTAAGAGCTCGGGTTTGTGCGGGATGCGCTGTTGTGTGTAGATGTGAATATGCGGTTGAGATAGAAAACAGGGGAGCTCAGAAGAAAAGAGGAGGGGAGGAGGGGATAGAAAGAAGAATTGTAAACGAATCTCGTCCAAGGGATTAAAAGGGGAAATGGGAAATGGAAAATGGGGTGCGGTTTGGGCAGGTGCGAATTAAAACGGCCCCTCCTTTTCTGGACCTGGCTGACCGCAAGTAGTGTGCAACATTCGACTACGGAGCATTAGTGCAGGGCCGGCGGTTTGGTGTTGGGCGGGCGTTAGGTATTGCTGCGTGGTGCTGCTGCGGAGAACATCGAGGTGGAGGGGAAGGAAGGCAACAAGGCACGGAGGCAAAAGGAAGGAGGGATGGAGGACGTTGCGGGTTGTCTGATCAGCGAGAAGGAGGGTGGGAGGCAGTGACAACTCTTTCCTCTTTCCAACGCTACGAAAGACCCGTGCAAGCGAAGATACTCTTCGTATCGGCTTTCATATGACGGAGGTTGCCCAAGGAAACAACGACCGGCGAGACAGACAGGGCCCAGCAAATGGGAAGGTGGGGTTGGCGTTTTGTGGTGGGAGGACAAGAGGCAAGTGGGTGCATGCACGGTCGGATTATGTTGGCGGCTGGCAGGAGCCTGAATTGGACAGGTTTCAGGTCTTCAGTTCAACACGAGCGCGCCGTGGCTGCCGTCCAGGCGGCAGAATTTCGAGAACACTGGGATCAGGGACAAGGCAGGGTCAACACGCCCGCTAGTGCTAAGCTCTTGGCGACTTCGCAAGAGACACACGCTGTGTTCCCGGTTGCCCCACCAACGTTCAGGTCCACAGACTAACCCCGAAATAAACACGCAGCATTCTTGGGAGCTTCCTGGCCTCGTCCACTTCGAGACACAACAACAACAGCACCGTGAAAAATGAGCACACGGTGACGACACTCCATTGATCTCGCCATCCTATCAATACCATCAAATTGGACAAAATCTTCCTTTTATCGACCGCCTGCCATTTCACGAGCAATCTGCGACGCGCGAATTCGATCCATCGAGAACTTTACCAAATTCGACAGAATCGACATCAAGCAACAGGAACGAACAAGATCATCGTGACGACGATGCTCGCCGCACGCGATCAGGAGAACCGCCTGTTTGGCCACAGCGTTGGCGGCGCGGCCGGGAAGAATCATGCGCTGGGCCCAAAGACGCCGGGTGGCAAGAGCTTCAACACGCCGATGAAGGTGCCTCTGAACGACGGTAAAAGTGTTCTCCGTGGACGGCAAAATGGCGGAAACGAGAACCTGCGGACGTTGGGAAAGGGAAAGAGCAACTTGGTGACGCCGTTAGGTGAGTGAATGTGCCAATCCCCGGCAAAGAGCAAGAACAGACAGAAAGATCGAGGCTGACATGGTGCAGAACCTCGGACAGCTCGAGCACCCCTGGGCAACAAGACGACAAACGCCAAGGCACATGCCGCACAGCAATCCCATATGCAGCAGCAAAAGGGCCGGGTCGGTGGTGTCAAGGACATCGTCCGAGAGATCGAGCAGTCGCAACAGCAGCAGAAGACGGTCGGCCCACAGACGGGCAACCGCCGGCCAAAAGCTGCGACTCCACGTGTCAACCCGCTTAAGTTGTCGGTGTTGAGTGATGACAACGCCCAAGACAGCAAGAGTGATTACGAGGAAGACATCGAGTATGCGCCACCGCCCGTGGCTCCCCGGCCATACGAGTCCGACGTGTTCCCCGAGGGCGTCCTCACTTTCGCCGCCTTTGAGCCCCAGAACCGCCTTCGTGGTGTCTACGACCACTATTACAACCCCGTCGACGAGACGGACGGCGTGCCACTGCGCGAAAAGGCGTTCGCCGAGCAACAGCGGCGAGCCTTTGAAAAGCTCGACATCCTCGTCCAAGAGGACATGGACTCGTTCGACTGGTCCATTGGCGACGTGCCGGCGAGCAAAGAGTACTTTGCCAACAAGCGCAAGCAGCAGCAGCAGCAGCAGCAGCAACAAACAAAGACACCCGCACCCGCAAGCACTCAGCCACCAGCGACCATCGCCTCACGAAAGGCTGCATCGGCTTTGGCGCTGTCCTCCAAGACCAACAAGCCTCTGGTGACAGGCACCGCTCTGCAGAAGAAGACTGCTTCCTCTGCGTCGTCCATCTCGTCTTCGCTTTTGTCGAGCCTGCCGCTGCGCAAACCACAGACTACCACGTCGGCTCTCCCTCTGCGGCCAAAGAGCACCAATCTCCACCATCCCGTCGCCGAGGCGGCTTCGCGTACGACGCTGGGCTACAACAAGGGTCGCACTGCCCTATCGATGGTGCGCGGCAACAATGGTGCTCCTGCGGTCCGTACGCATACCCTGTCGACCCTCCGCTCCACAGCGCTATCTTCGACAACTCGCCGTGCTGCCCCTACTGCGACAGAGACAACGGCTGACAACGTAGTTGCAACCCCAGCGCGTCGACCACTTCAAATGCAGGCCAGTCTCGGTGACATGCCCAATGATGGACTTGAAGGTCCGTCAGCGGCACCGAGATCGCCAGCCTTCGTGTCCATCTTTGATGCGCAGGACGATGAGAACGACAACCTGGGAAGTGCCGGGACATTTGTGAATGACGATCTGGACGATGATTTCCAGATGGACATCAAGTTCTAGCGGGGTCATTGCTTCTAGACTCTTCCTTTTTGTTTCCTTCCTTTCTTTTCGATTCTCATGGCCAGGCGTTCGGTTACACTATACCTCCATTCTTTTCAAGACGCAAACAAACACACACGCACCCTGGGATCTCTGTTCTTTTGGCTTCTCTCGTTTGCCATTTGGTTTGTTTTTTTATATTATTTTGGAGTCACTGCAAAATGGACCTTTGTTCCATGCAACTTGCTTGATTGCAGCAGCTATGGACTATTCATGGGGAGAATGGTGCCCTCATTACTTTTCATTGGTATCATCTTGTAATAAGAAATGCAAGTAGCAAGCTTTGTTGTCTCTTAAACAATGCTATTCGTGTCTAGAGCGCCTGTGTCGTCACCGCAGGCAGTGTAATGTATGGAGTGCCAAACAGTGCTATGCACTGTATTATTCAGTGGGTTTTCAATTAAAGTGGTACACTGCGCACTGTAGAGGACTGACCGCTTTTTGCGCGCCAATGGCCATTCACAGCGCCTGCCTAGATGCCGTAACTTCGCGCTTTCCAGCAAATTTCGTTTTGTCTTTCCCCCTGTCGCGTGTCCCGCGTCATAAAGTACCTTTCAATATGTTCAATATGAACGTGGTACTTTAGTCGCTTCCATTGTTCGCACTTTCCTCCCCACATTGAACCCCCTGCCACCAAAGACCATTTCTCCCGCCTCTTCCTGCCTTCGAACCCTGAAATTGTGACCAGAAGGTAACAACGAGACACGCGCCTTCCCAACGACGTCCGTTGTCTGTTTCCTACCATTTTCATCCTTTTCCCATCATCTCATCCTACGTCTTCACGACAACCAACCTCTCCTTAACTCAGCCTTCGTCATTCGACTTCGACAAGCTTCGCGCCACTGTGCCAGGCTTGTTCCTTACTGTTACACGCGCGTCTCCGCCAGTCAGAGGTACCGACGCCAGACCAACAGCACACCCCAAATATTGCGACGAAGGGTCAAAGGGTTAAAACGAGCCCAAAAGAAAGGAGGGCGAAAACTAGACACGGCGGCCGAAAAAATAGAGATCAGCGACGCGATTTTCCCAGGCTCGGCCGCCAACGTTCTCTCCCTTTACTCCTTTCTCTTTTCCTCTCTTTTCGTTCATTCACATCCCGTTCATCCCTATTCCTCGTCTCCCTCTCCGCCGCTGCACTCTTCTTCATCCGTCGACATTTTCGCGTTATTCGCCTTGACTCAATCGACGCTCGCCTCGCTTCATTCACGCCCGCGCGCGCTCTCATACTCTATCTTTGGACGCTGCCATCGCCTCCCTTCTTTGGCGCTTCTTCTCTTACAACAATCAATTCATCCTCGTCATCGTGCCGTCGCACCGTCGCACCGTCGCCTCATCCAACTTATGCCCCATTTCAACCTCCTCATTCACTGCGACAAGATATGATGAGAAGACCGCGGGGAGATCGCTGAATCGGACGACCTGCCCTCTCCCCTCCCCTTCCTTCTCTCTTCTCATTCGCACTGCCTGGCCGCGATGCCTCCTGCGTCCGGCGCTGGCTTTGCGCAGTTCTTTCCAGCCGCGCCAAGAGCGGCGCGGGACCGCGCAACCGCCATAGAGCGCGAGCGGGCCTCAAAACAGCGCGCCACCGGGTCGCCTGGCCCACGCGACAGCCCGAGTGCGCCATCCGCAAAGCCATCAGGAGATGACGAAGAATCCTTGCCTGGTGAAGGTCTGTCCACAGCCGCAGCGACATCACCACCAATGACATCGTCATCGATCGCGCGCGCTGGTGCGTCATCCGGATCAGCCGCGTCCGCGTCGGCATCAGCATCGGCATCAAACCCGCCTTCCACAAGCAGCAGCAATGGTGCCAGCTATCTCACTCCGCTCACAGCCGATCACTCTCCATCGTCTACCAGCATACCGCATCAGCAGCAGCAGCAGCAGCTACAATCAGGCGCGTCGCATCGCCCTGACCAGGCGATCCATGACTGGCCATCAAACAAACCGTTGTCCGCATCTTCTACTACCACCTCACCCAGCCATCAACCACCTCCACCACCTCCACCACCTCCACCACCTCCTCCGCCGTCACAGCTCGTGCCTACACCCACTTCGTCCTCCTCCCTATCCGACCACATGATGGCCAACGGCCTCAATCCCTCCAACGGGCTTGATACCCTCCTCGGCGACCGCGTGCCCGCTCGGGACCCACACCGCCTTGTGCAGGGCATCGCCTGTGTCTATGATCCACAGCTGCCTGACGACAAGAATAACGTTTCGAACTTTGACCTCAAGCGAAGAGGGAAGCATGTCCTCAAAGAATTTGGTTCGGTACGTATATATGACACACATCACGCAATATATCATGTATTGTGCGATGAAACAGAGAAAGAGAAAAGACGCAGAACGCAGCACGCGCAGTACGCAAGACGCAAGCCACTATCTTTGCCATATCCTTATTGTCATCGCTGCTCGAAGACGACACTCCCAACCGCCGCCATCAGTCTCCGGACCTGATGCCCCAAGCCCCAATCCACTCCTGGGCACATATACACATATACATACATACATATGAGATATACAAGGAGTGTGGACCGCAAGAGGAGGAAGCTTTGTAAACAGAATGTGGAAAGGGTCCGCGGGTGGGAGTGTCATCTTCAATTTTGAAAAACAAAAAAATGCGCAAAAGAAAAAGAGTGATGTGCTAATACATGATTTTACTTTCGTATAGGAAGATGACGCTCCTCCCGCGGACCCCCGTCTAGCCAAAGGCGGTCGACTCAACTACATCAATGTCGATTTCCATCTCGCACGCGCCCGTTTGCGCCACACCCCGTACGACCTGAAGCCATATGTCTACGATCCCCGGACGTCGCTCGGCCCTGGTCCGCCCACACAAGTCGTCGTGTCCGGCTTCAACCCGCTCGTACCGTTTTCCAAGATCATTGCCATGTTCGCATCCTTCGGTGACATCGCGGAGAGCAGCAACAAGATGCATCCGGAGACGGGCAGTTATCTCGGCTTCGGCACATTCCGCTACCGGGACACAAAGCCCAACCGGTCACGGCCTGTGCCTGTATCAGCCATTGATGCTGCACGCCGTGCCGTGCGCCAGCTGAACGGCTCTCGCGTCGAAGGCACCCCAGTTAGTGTAGAATACGACCCCGATGGCCGGAAGAGCAGTCGTATGTTGGAAACGACCTTGCGGAGGGACAGAGAAAAGGAAATGAAGGCCAATGCGGTGAGAATACCTGTCGCGCCGCGTGGTCTTGGTGTCCCAGCGAACCTGCGGCCACCACCGACTGCTCCCCGTGGTCCTGCTGCACTTCGGATGCAGCAGGCACCAGGAGCGCTCGCGCCTGCTGCTGCTACTGCTGCGACTGCTGCTGCTGCTGTTGCTGGCGCTGGCGTCGGCGTGGGAGCTGCGGCAGTACCTGGTGCAGGCCCCAAGGCCGGCATGGTTAGCGCAGTGCCTCGAGGGCCTGCAGTCGTAGCACCGGCGTCGGCCGCTACGATCCCAGACGGACCGCCTGGACAGTGCATCGAGAAGAATCCGATTGCGCCTCGCCTTCCGCATACTCCATTCATCTTTATCAGCTGCGACCACGTCCCAGTGGTCTTTCAGACGATTGCGCACATGAGGCGCCGGCTCAAGATGCAGCACTTTGAGGAGATCCGGGCAGATCTTTCCGGTTATTTTATCGTCTTTCGCGACAGTGCCACGGGCAAGCACGATGCCGAACGCTGCTTCCAGACAGCCAACCGTACCGCATTTTTCACATATGAGCTGGTCATGAAGCTGTACGCCCGCGGCTACTCCGGAGGAAGCCATGAAGACAAGGCCGGCACTACCTCTGGGTCAAAGAACCGGCGCAGCCATAGTCCGGCTCCCGAGAAGACCGAGGAACAGCTGTTGCGCGACGAGAAGGCGCAGATGCGCAAGGACGAAGAGGCCGACCTCGAGGAAGAGAAGAAGCAGCGCGCCAAGAACTTCGACCCAGTAAGGGCCGCTGTCGAGACCGTCCGCCTCGAGCTGGTCGAGCATCTCATCCGCCACATCCGCGCCGACGTGGCAGCCCCTCTGCTGTTTAACTACCTTGATCCGGCCAATCATGACGCTAAGCGCCGCCTCCACAACATTGGCGGCGCGAGGCTCTCCACCCTTCTCTTTGACGAGCAGGACGGCGGGGAGCGCCGCAAGAAACCGTCTCCTATCAGCACCCCCAACTCGCGTGCCGATCCGATCGAACGGCGCACTGGCCGCCTCGACGTGGCTGCTCTGCCACGCATTCGCAAGGCCAAAGGCGCCAAAAAGCTGGCTGCGGTTCGCAAGCAGGGCCTGTTTGATCCGTTTGCCCGGCAGCGCACCCAAGACACATCGTCTCGGAGTGCTTTCCGCTCCCTACACTACCGACTCAAAGACGACAGTGACGACGATTCAGAGGACGAGACGGAGAACCGCTTCTCGATTGGCGGCCGCGATACGGAAGAGCCCGAATCGCGTGCGTCTGAAGCTGAGCGCGAGGCCGCAGAAGACGACGACGATGACGATACCGACGCGGAGGGCCGGGCGCTCAAGAAGACGCTCGCGGGCCAGTGGACCGGCCGTGACGAAGATTCGATGACGGAAGCGAGTTTCTCTGCCACGCCTGCTGAGTCAGAATCTACGGCAACGCCTGCAACGACAGTGAATACAGCAACAAAGGCCCCGGTCAAGAAACGCAAGCTGGAGCTGCAAATGGAGGCGGCCCTGAAGCGGCAGAAGAGGAACGACGAAGATCTCTTTGGCGTTTCCATTGGTGCTGTCGAGACCAAGTTCCGGGCCGACGTGGCCGCTCCGAAGACTGAGGATATGGTCATCGACGACGGCGTAGCCGCGCCGCGGACCACGAAATCGTCGACGCCTGCCGCCGCGGTCTCCGATGAGGCCGACAAGAAGAAGAAGCCGGTCAGCAAGAAGACCAAAAAGACCAAAAAGCAAATCTTGGAAGAGCGTAGGGCGGCAGACGAGGAGGGCC